CTGCTTGAGCTGGCGATAGCCTCGTATGCGTTGCTTTATGGCCGCTGCGAGGTTGGATGCCGTGAAATCGCAAGCGGAGTCGTTCGCGTCATCGCGTGGAACCCCAAATTCCTTAGCCGCAGCGCGAAGGGACATATTGGGATTTGCCTCAATGGCTTTAATAGCCTCGGCTACGCGCCTTTCAAGCGTAAGCTCTTTATTCTTCATAATGTGCCGTTGTTGAGGTCAAGATAGAGGCTTGAAGCGGTGAAGTGACACAGCCAGGTGGTTGACACAGACAGGTGGTGAGGACCCACTTTACGTGGGTCTGTGGGACGAGTAGCGGCAGATAAACAAGTGAGGCTATTCGTTATGTTGGAAAGCCGTGATTATGCTGTTTGTATGGTGTTGAGACCATAAAGTAATGATGACTCGTGAGATCATATTCTTTAGTGTTGTGGAACTCCTAGGCTTTCTGCACACCTAGTCATCCCCCCGGCAAGAGTGCCCCTATGTCACCCCCTGAGGGGAGTCGGTCGCTCTTGCATTCCGAGTTGGCGGACGAAGGCATCGTGTTTCTGTCGGGGTAGGGCCTTCGTCATTCCGTCAGCCGGGTTCTCGCTTGACTTGATCCATTTGACACGGAGCCTTTCTTCCTGGACCGCCTGACGGAGCCAGTGCCTGTGGATGTCAACGTGCTTGAGGCTTGTTTTGAGCCTAGCACTCAATTCCGTGAGTAGCCTGATGGTCTGGAGGTTGTCACACCATAGCTCGTCGGTCCCTTCCACTTGGATGCCTAGCTCGTCAATAAGGCGACCAAATTGCATTTGTTCCTTAGCCGTACTTGTCAGGGCTAGGAGCTCTGCTTCCGTGGACGATGTGGTGACTGTAGCTTACTTCGTGGCCTTCCAGTCAATAGGGGCCCCGAGGAATAGGAACACATAGCCCTGTGATGACTTCCTCGTTTCTGGGTCGTCTGCAAAGGAAGAATCCGAGGCACAGACGAATCGGCGAGTAGATTCGGTAGCTGTAAAGCAGAGGCATCGATCCCTCGTGTGATAGAGGTATGCGAGGCACCTTCGAGCCTCACGTTGATGCCTTGGTCCCGGGTTTTAGCCAAAATTGGGCCAGCTTTCCGACTGGGAAAGCCACGTCAGGTCGTGTGTGTATAGCTGGGTGTAGGATTGAGCCGACGATCGATAGGAATTTGTGTACTTCTTCCTTGCTAGCCTTTTTCTCGTAGGGCCTCAATTCGTCTGTTGTGACGGGAATGACGGGTATCCCTATAACGTTATTGTCATCGTTAATGTGGAATTTCTGAGCCATCTTAGAGAGGTAGGAAGCCTGTGAAAGCCACAGCTTCTTTTGGGCCCTATCCCTGATGACCTCGATCCCTAGGAACCAGCGTAATTCACCCATGTGGTTAATAGTGTATTTTTCCATCAGTGCATTGTGAACGTGTTCCCAGCTAGCCTTGTGACTAGAAGGATACTGTCGTGAAAACGGGTTAACGATCTAAGTCCGAAGGTTACCTAGTCGGGCTGACTCTAGCAAAGGTGACTGAGAAGGATGAATAATGTCGTTGGTAAGCGGTGGTATCGAACCTTCTAGATGACAACGTCATCTAGGCGGCCTGGGTGGCGACATCGCCACCACAAGGCAGCCACAGGTGACAGAACTATAAGAAGTCGCTTTTTGTTAGAGAGGAGGAAGAATCTAAGGACAAGCAACTTAATCAATTCATCACTTGCACCCTCTCTTCGCGAGAGATACATCATGACGATGTCATCCACGAAGAAGAAGATGATAATCCCTTTATACACCATAACACAGGCGTCTTCCACGAGCTGTTGTGCTCCAAGGCTCTTGAAGAATCCCGTGAGCTCTTCATACCATAGTTTCGGAGCTATTCGTAGCCCGTAGATGCCTTTCAGAAGCTTTAGGCATAGCCCCGGCTCATTGAAGCCCGGTGGGAGCTGGCAAAGACTGCTTGTCGAAGCCTATTGTAAAGGAATGCGGTTTTCACATCGTATTGCTCGGTCTCAAGGTCCTCAAGGCAGCAGAGCGCCATCATAAGGCGGAACGTTCGTGCCCGGAGGGTTGCAGCGTATGTATCTTCATCGTCTTCTGGCTGCTGATCTCCACGGACCACAAGCCGGGCTTTGAAGCGTATCACATATCCTTGTGGATCAAGCTTGTAGGCAAAGACCCAACGCATGGGGATAAGGAACTGGTCTGCCGCGTCTTTCTTGAGGAATTTGACCCATGTGCAGAGCTTCTCTTGATCCCTGATTTCCGCAGTCATTCCTTCCATCCACTCAGGGGCATATGCCGAGGCCATCGCTTCCTTGTAGGAATTTGGCACTGGTGGCATATCCTCTATGTGGAGCCTGTGCTTTGAGGCATTGGCAATGACATTGTTGATGAAGGGCTTCTTCGCGCGGCGCTCTCTTTTTCCTGTGAGCATATTGCTTGAGTCCACCCCCTGAGACGTGTCCCTAGCCTTCCGAGCTCTCCGTGGCTCGGGCTCTGGCTCAGGTTCCAAGGCTAACTCCGCATCTTGTGTTATGGATCTATGACCACCCCGACGGGCTCACCCTCTGGCTCTGAGTCTGATAGCTCTGTAACCCGGTCACCCCCAGGTCGGCGAGGGCTCATTCGATTCGTCGCGAAGGGCGTTCCCAGCGTGATGACGGGTTCCTCGTCGGGCTGTCTGGTTGGAGAGCTAGAAGTGGGTGAATTCGGCTGCCTGTTCTCCCAACCGTGGTACGGGACTGGCTGCAAGTGGGCATTAGGGCTTACACCCTGTGGTGGCGGGGATGATACCGCGGCGCTCCCTTCCGTGCGGGAGGTGAGACATAGGGTTCTTGGGTAAACCTGACCTCTTTGCCCTGCCTGGTCGTTGCGGAGGTTCTGCTGATGGTCCTGGCGTGGCTGGCCTTGCCTCATGGCTTTCCTCTTCATCAGAGTGCCCATATAGCTCGACTTCGTCAGGGTCCTCATCGTCAGGGACGTCCACAGCGGCCATTTGGCGCAACACATCGTATGTGTACACACAGGCGGCTTCAGCTGTTTCTTCCCTAGCCGGGTCATACATCGCCGACTCGTCAAAGCGAACGTTCGCAGAGACTAGCAGCTTCGTTTGCCCAATCGAAGGCACCCACACGATGTATTGTTGGCTTGACTTGTAGCCCACAAGGTAGCCGATATGTGCCCTCTGTTGCATGGCCGGCTGGCTCTTGTGGGACTTCACATGTTCTAGCGCCTCTATCGTCATAGGATAGGCCACACAGCCGAAGACTCGAAGGTGTGAGATATCAGGGCGAATTTCCTTGATGTGTGCGTATAGGGGGTTGTATTCCTTCATGTAGGTCCACCAACGCTCGAAAGGGCTTCTCCATGAGTTATCCTTGCCTTCGAAAGGGGTTCTATTTAGCAGATAAACCGCTGTTTTGTAAGTTTCTGGCCAAAGCTTCTCAGGAAGGTTTGCATCAAGCATCATAACCCTTCCTTTCTCTTTGACCACAGCCCCTGACCTTTCGGCATGACCGTTCTGTGTGGGCGTTGATGGGGCTGACACAAAGACCTGTGCGCCAAGCGCTTCAACATACTCGATCATGTCGTTCGTTATCAGGGCCTTCTCCCCGTCACTAACTAGGATGATCATTTCTATCCCATAGCGTGCCTTCATCATCCTAATCAGCTTCTTGAGGGCTGATCGGACCCCTGTTTTATCCTTGACCAGGTAATAGAAGCGCATGCCCGTTGTCATGCAGGTAAAGAGGGCAAAGTGCTTGAAGCCGCTGTAGCCGGGAACTGGCCCTGGGTGTAGGTCAAAGCTGAATTGGACCCCTGCCCCTTGTGGCCGGAAAGTGGGCTCTGCTCGCGAGACTTCCCTGCGAGCCTTGCCTGTTGCACAGACTTCGCACTCGCATCCAGATGGTCCACTCAATCTTGTGCCAAGGCATTGAATCGAGAGCTTCTCAAGGGCCCCTGGACCAGGGTGCCCAAGGCGTCGATGCCACAAGTCACCCGGGCCCTCCATTCGGGGCCTTGGTTTCCGGCTTGTAAGGAAAACACTATTGCGATCCTTTCCAAGGCTCGCGATGACGTATTGGCCCTCGAAATCTTCCAGTTGCGTAAGCTGACGGCCCGTAGGCTCGTAATAGAGCGTGCCGTTGATTTGGTTCCAATAGACCTTGGCCTGAATCCCTTGTCGTGCCGAAAACACGCTTGTGGGCATCTCGGGGATGTAATAGCTATTGTCAAGGTGTAATTTAACCCCTTGGTCTAGCATAATCACTGCCGAGCCCACCCCCTGAACTTGGAGGGAATTTTCCCCAGCTCTGACTTCCTCAGTTGATCCCCAGGTGAAGGACTCCTCCTTGAACCACCTTAGGTCATTGAAGACATGAACGCTTGCCCCTGAATCGTAGATAACTTTATCAACGAGGGGCTCGCAGTTCTGTTGCATGTGGTGAACCCGGGAGACTGTATGAACCTTGCCCCCAGCGTTGCCACTGCCGTTGTTGTTTGGGATCGTGATATTGTTGTCGGATCCCTCTTTTATCTGTGGCTTCCATGCCAGAGCCTTTTCCTTCTCGTGAGGATTCTCTTTGAAGCGCTTAGTGATACGAGCCTTCTGATCTTGGGTTGGATTCCAGCCCTCAGGGGGGTCCTTGTTGAACATCACCCTGAAGGTCCAGCAATTGACCCACTAGTCATCTTTCTTGACGACGTGGCTTCCACAGGCTGGACACTTTTTCCGGGTGGTCCCGGCCCCTGTTGTTGTTGTAGGCGTTTGGCCTGCTTGATTGACGGTCTTTGTTGGCTTCCCCTTTTTCCTGATCCCAACCTCCCTTTGAAGTCTGCAATAACTGTTCGGAGCGGCGTTTCAGGGCATTTAGGCGTTGAAGCAACAAGTCATCAGACCGTACGTTCGAGGCCCATGTGACATCCCAATCCTCGAGGGCCTTGAGGAAGTCCTGCCTAACTTCCTGCACGACTATCCCACAAACCAGCTACGCAAGGGCAACTTCGTCAAGGTTCCACTGCTGGTCGGTGTCACCACTGATGAGGTGGTGGTTTCGTGACCGATTCGACAAACTCGGATGAAGACGTGCGAGAAGCCCTCAGGGCGCAGCTCATATCGAACAACACGGCAGAGAACGTCGACCAGCTGCTGAAAGAGCTGATGTACTTGTACCCGAACATGCAGTCTATCGGCATTCCTTCGCTCAAGACGTGGTCTCATATTATCCAGCCAGGTGATGCGGGCAGCCCGAATCTGGGGTCGCAATATAGGCGCATGGCAGCTATTGTCGGGGACATGACAATCGGTTGCTTGTCACAACTGTGAGCTGTCGGTCATGAAGGCCTAGAGGTACACACCTCAGGGCCATGGCGATTGCCTCGAGTCCTGCTGTGTAGGTATTCTGCTCATCACTGGAGCCAAGGGTGACGGAGTAGCTGGCCAGCACCTCGTCTGCGCTGTCACGGGAAGCATCCCGAACGACGCCTCCCAACCCGACCTTGCCTTTCCTTTGCGAGCTGGACGTCGCGATAGTGATGTCCTCCGGGTCATCCGACTTCAGCACCTCCGCTCGGTCTGCCTCATACGTTGCCTGCACTCGTTCGTCCCACGGCGCCAGTGCGAACTCGTGGATGACTTCCAGGCGTTTGGTATCTAGTCTTCCCATCGCCGAGGCGAGCTTCTGCATTGGCGACGCATACCTCCTGTTCAGCTTGAGCCTCAACGATGTCAGAGGATGCGTCTTCGGGAGCGTCCGCATCCTTATCAGAATTTCGCTGCCGCTTGAGTATGCCGTTCTCGGAACGATTGCACGCCGGCCTCGGCCTCGGCCACTACCGTTGCCACTGTGCGAAAGCCTCCCGTGACAGCCTGGGCTCCGATTCGCTGGGCCCTGCCAATCCACGCCGCTTCTTTCACCCCGCACGCGTGCGACCACACGTTTGAGGCATAGTCCATGGCTGGCGCCACCGTCGCTACGAACAGTTGCCTCGCCATCCGTGGCGAGGCCATCTTCAGTCGTTTCAAGCACATGGCCGCGGCCAGCCCTTGGCGGCTGCTCTGGCGATGTGCTCTTTGAAGCGAAGCGCCTTGTCCATGATGACTCCCAACAGCTTCACGTTGCTCTTCGGCTTGACATCGTTTCCTTTGATGATGAGAGGCAGGTCGCTGTCGCGCTCCGCGATGCGTGTGAAGTGGATGACGGATGTCTTCTCTGCTTCAAATGTGGCGCCGCTGCGCTTCTCCCAATCAAGCGCCTCATCGATAATCGATTGAATACCATCTCTGTTTGACTCTGCCGTTGGCCCCGTGACCCAGGCAGAGTAATCGTCCACGAAGGCGATGGAGCCGCCATTGTTACTGATCCGTCTTTGCACCAGGTCTGCGTTGAAGAAAGAAAAGCCACTGGCGACAGAGGATCCTGGGTAGGCCGGCCTGCGGCAGGGTTTGTTGCTCGGATGTGTGCCCGTTGACAACCACCGACGCGGTCCGTCCCGAGCAGAATGCGTCTATCCACTTGACCAGACGACTCAGGATGCCTCGGGCTTTCATCCTTTCGAGCATTCGCTCTTTGCACACTCCGTTGTATGCGCCTTTGACGTCAAAGCTGATGAGGCTGAGCACTCTGCCCGTTCTCCAGGCCTTGTAGATCCGCTCCTGTAGAAGCACAAGTGCTTGATCTGCGGACCTGCGCTTCCGTGCACCAAAGTGGTTCGCGGGCAAAAGCCCTTGAGCCTCTGCTGCATAGCTGATACGTTCCGCAACGACTGCTTCCAGGATTTTGCCAAGCGTTGACAAGAGAGAAATCGGTCGCCACGCCTTGGCCAGGTGTAATCCCTTTATCTGGTTTCCTCAGGGAATGATCTTAGCCGTTCGCCATTGATGAGGCACGACGCCCTCTCGGAGCGATGAGCTGAAGAGCGTCCACACCCGGTGCTTGACCACGTGCCAGAGCTTCTTCCACACGATCGCAGGAAGGCCATCCTCACCAGGCGCTTTCCAGGGCTTCGCCGCCATCACCTTCTCCTCAATCTCTTGCAAGGTGAGGTCTGGCATGGCTATTTCTTGTCTCTGCGGACGTTCACCCTCCGGCTCAATCCTCGTTGGCAGAGGCGGAAAGAAGGTGCTCAGGAGTTCCTCGGCTTGCTCGCCCTTGCTTTCAGTGATCGAGCCGTCGGCTCTCTTCAGCGGGGGCACCTTGTCATCCGTCATCTCCGTACCAGGCTTCAGATACTTGGCAGCCCTCCAGATGTTGCTCCCTTCGATGACGAAGTCATCCCAATGGGCCTTCTTTTGTTTCCGCAAATTGTCGTGGTACTCCTTCGCAGCCTCCTTGGCGCGCTGCTCCAGATCCGGCCGCGATTGACCGGCTCTTCGCTGCGCCCTTGCTTGATTGCGCCAATACGTGTACGTCCGACGGAGTCGCGTCAGGTCCTTTGTCCACCATCGCTTCGCGTATGGCGGCGGCTGGGCTTGAGGGTCAGATCTCGAAGCGCCTTGGTGACCACCCGCATGAGCTGATCCGCCTGCGTCTGCACCCCCACAGTCCACGGAAGAGGCCGAAGCTCGTCCTCGACCCTGGTTGCGATGGCGATCCACGGCGCGTTCTTGAGCATCTGGCGCTGCGGAAAGGTACGCTCCGGCACTCGAATGTCGAATGTCGTCTGGATCGCTCTATGGTCTGATCCGTGCTCTGTTGGATGAATCACGCAGGATGTCAACTCGTCCGCCAGTTCCGCCGATGCCAACACCAAGTCGATGGTGCTCTCCTCGTCCGACCTCTGCCACGTTTTCGTCCCTCTCGCGAGAAGGCTGCTAAGACCAAAGTCGTCCATCAGGTCAATGATGGGTTCGCCCTCCCCTTGTCTGCTCGCTGACACTTCATCTCCGCCCCAGAGGAGGTCGTGGCGGTTGAAGTCCCCCGCCAAAACCACATCGGTGCGTCTCCCTGTCCCATTGCGGAAGCGATCGATCACGTCGCGCAATAGTTCCATCGCGTTCGTCAGCGCCTCGTCGTTCTTTCCTTGCACATACACTGACACCACCATCACCTCCCTTCCCTCAAGTCGGAGTACCGCTGCTGTGAGATCGGCCGACGGCACAGGCACTTTGCTCCGCCTCAAGGTCACTTCGGATCCAGAGCATGCTGCGGATCGGCCATAGGGCGTCACGAACACACGTCGGAATCATCTTTGTCCAGTTATGGTGTCCCATAGGACTCGTCACCACCTTTCCGTCGATATTGCGCGCATGTGGCTCAGATATAGCCAGTGCGGCAAAATCCTTCAGGTCTTCGTCGTTCATCAGACTCTGCTGCACCACATCACTCTTGTGTGCATTCAGCTGTAGGATGCGGAGGGACTCAAGCATCGCTGCTCGGGTTCCTCATCCTGCACTTCCAGCTAAACGACTCATGCGGTCCGCCGCACGGGACGCATTTTGGCTCAATCGCTGTGCATTCTCGGTGGTGATGCCCAGCGTTTGCGCACTGCCGCATGTCCGCTGCTTCTTGCATGAATATGCTTTGTGACCGATCTCCTGGCAATTGAAGCATTGGATCGGTCCCGTTCTTGGCTCGAACTTATAAGTGGTGGCCGACTCTCCCGCTAGGTCAAAGTAGTCACCGTCCAGAAGCCTTTCTGCATCGCTTTTCTTGGTGACATATACTACCATGGATCCGTAGGCTTTACCAGACTCTCGTTTGCTCAGCCAGGAAATCTTGCCAATGGTCACTCTGTTTTCGGCACTCAAAGCTTCGATCGCTCCGGGCAGGATATTGCCCTCCGTGTCGAGGATTGCTGTCCGGTTGGCGTTGTCGACCCGGACCGGATACAGCTGGTCTCTCATGATTCGCGCTCCCTCCACGGCTGTCTTCTGCGCCGCCTCTTTGACCAGCTGAAGCTCGGCTTCATCTCTGCAGACGATCTTGATTCGGTCGGCATTCCGGGATTCTCTCACAACTGCTGCGCACCTCCAGGTCTCATGTCCGTTCTTCGCTCTCATCTCAACCTCGATGGCCTGTCGTATCTGCCCGATTTGCGCTTTGTTCCTGTTCGGCTCACTTACACGAGACGTGTCAATGGTACAATGGACAGAATCGTTGGCTGTCTGCTGTTTGGTTGGACCAGGTATGCTGCGTGTACTGGAGGGCGGGCTGTTTGGCAGGGCGCGCGCGACGTCCGCAAACGTTGCTCGAGGGCCGCTTGGCAAAGCCACCTCGCCCGATACATCCAGCTTTTGCATCAGCTGATCTAGTTGCTCTTTCATTCCGACCAATTCTCTCTTAAGATCCCGGTGCTCCTGTTTCATTTGCTTGTCGTGTTCTTCGCTCTTACGTCGAAACTCTTCCTTGGATTCCTGGACCTGGGCTTCCAAGCCTCGGATCAGATCTTCCTGTCCCTGGATGGTGGTGCTTTGCTTGTACACCGTGGCGCTCAGCTTCCTGATCGTGTCGCTTTGCTCGGATACTCGATGTTTCAGCTCCACCATCTCGCTTCCCATCTTCGCCAGCATCTCTAGAACCCTTTGCATCATCGATTTGGCGGTCTCCACATTGCTGCGTGACTTCACCTCGTCGCCTCTTTCGCTTTCGTTGCCCACCGATATGACTCGCGTCGTTCGGGTCGAGACACGCTTGGGAGCTCTCGCGGTCGCACTTTCCAACGATCGTAACGTATCCTGCACTCGTGCGCTGGGCGTCCTCACTCGCGTCGGACGCGTCAATGGCGACAGGCTAGTTGGATCCAGCCCCGCCCCACGTCGGCCGGAGGCGCCACTTCAGGCTCTGCCATGATGGCAATCAAGAGCCACACCTACCCCAGAGTAAAGAAATATGAAGAACTCTCAGCAAGCTGAGAGCGCGGGCGGAAGGATCTTCGCTTCGTATTCTTCGGCTGGGTCTCTCTTCGTGTTTTTTCGCACAGATCTCTTTAGTCGGTGAGCCAAAGCGAATCCCGATAAAGTGGGGGCGGGCACGAGTAGCTGCTTCTACACTGCGGTCCCCCTGCCAACCTGATCGTCAGGCCTTGGCACGTGCGCATGCCACGATAAATCGGTCCGAACTTTATCATGCGCGGGTCACATCAGGCGAAGCCAGGAATGGAGGCCTATGGGTCAGCATCGTAGGACAGCCCGGACTTGAGCTGCGGGATGCCTGTTTAGTGATTCATGCGAAAAGTTACCCACTGTAAATTGTGCTCGACTCGTTCGTTCGATGAATAGGGGACGCCAGAATTGTATCCCTTTGAGTGTGCGGAGGAGCAAGGGGGTTACGAACAGGGATCTCGGCCAATAAGACCACTGGACGATTAGAGGTACATTGTTTTACTAGCAAATTTGGCTATGGTAGAAGTCCCGGCAAGCCTGCTGGGTACATACAGCTACATACATTGCACTGGTCGCATCTCATGCGAGTCTTTTGTGCCCAACTTCTTGCGTGTATTACTACTGGCTGCGCCCAACGGCTTGCGCTGACTTATGCGTATCTCACATGTAGCTACGTATTGTGGTGCCCGTGACCACCTTGCTCCCCCTCCGCACTCAAAGGGATGCACTGCCCCCGAACTAGTGCGTTTGACTCGACCGCCTGGGCTGTACGGCTGGGGTCATAATTGGCGTCCGATAGTCTCGCGAAGAGAGCATGAACATAATGCATAAAACAGTTCTCGCAAAGGAGAGATCAAAATAGGGCATAAAAGTGGACAAATGGACTTTTCGCAGGTAGGTTCACATATGATCAGAAGGTCTGTGTAGTGCATGTGTTGATTGCTCTGCCCCCCGGTTCCCTTTTCCCGTCCAAACAGCCCCTTTGTATCCCTCCAACTTTCTCCCAAGTTGATATCCCGTTTTCAGGTATAGTATACATTCTATCAGGAAGAGGCACTTCTTGCCACTTACTGAAGGCCGCGTAAGTCATCTACGTCAGCAACATCAGCTCCATCTCCCCGATCAAATAGCTCTTCTAGCTATTAGATCGATAGTTCAGTCTCTCGAGGTCCCCGAGCCAGTAAGAGATATACCGGACTTCTTAGAAGGTCCCCGTTCGAATAGGAGATCCTCCGGACCCCTCAGTGGTCTAGGAAGAAGAAATAACAGTCTGCAGACTTCCCTTCTTACCTGGTTTCAAGCTGTATTACCTAGAGAGACCTAGAGACCTCAACTCGTTCGGACCTTCTTCTCGAGAACAGTAACATACATCATAAGCGAGCAGGCCACCCAAGCGAGCGGGCCATTCCTTATCGCACCTTAAAGACGGGGTTTTAAAATATTTTAAAAATCGAAGCTAAGATAAAAATGAATAAATCTTTTAGATAAGGCTAGTTACTCGTGCCCGCCCCCACTTTATTGGGATTCGCTTTGGCTGTGCCTTGCAGATGAAAGCTTAACTGGGTCCACTTCATAAGGTGGACCTGGCCCCGAGGCATTATATTTGATCAGGCATAAAAACCTCCTCTCCCGGCCGACCCTTCTCAGCCATAACGTACATTTTCTCTTTCACCTCTATATCAACAACCTAATTGCGGCTCAATGGTGGCCTTTACTTCCATAGGACTTACCGTCCTTTTAGCAAGCGCTTTTGTGCTAGCTAATCTGGAGTCAAATGTCGGGGTCTCCCTCTACCACCTTCTGGATGACTTTGCTCAAAGCTTGGAATATTTCGAAAGTCCTGGTCCTGTAAGCAGTCTTCGTCCCTTTTTATAACGGACGGGTTTTCTAATAGTAATGCGGTATAGTTCCTCGTGAAACTCACTGGCAGCGATGGCTCTGACCTACAGTGGACATTGGCTATTACATGCAATTCGAGTACATATGTCGACTTGACCGTCCTCGGGCCAACCTCTATCGCATCTCCTGTCAAATCATGCGAGGCACTTCAAGTCTATGCTGATAAGGACTTGAATGAAACAACCGACGAGTGTACAATACACACAGACGAAGACGGCTATTGCTTCACATGGTGCATATTCACTAACCCACCTACACCGAAAACCCCACAAGGAGAGATTTTGAAGGTTATTGGGGGCGCACGCTTAACTCTTGCGCGACCTCGAAGTCCAGTCAGCATAACTAATCCGAATCAATTATGTTCGCCACCTAACACGAAAATGGGCCTTGAAATGGTAGTTGGATTCTATTACAAATCGATCCTCTAGGGCTAGCCTCACTAACATGATTTAGGCATCAAAGCCAGGCCAAGACCTACTTTCGGATTTCAAATTCTATGCTCAACATTCTGCTGCCGCGTACTGTAACTCGGAGACGCCAATAAACACCCGAGTTAACTGCTCGGGAAGTTGCGATTTAGTCGAAAAATCTAATGTTACTGTGGTGCATAATTTTAGGTAAGTTTTCCTTATAAAAGTTGTGCTAGAACATATATATTAATAACATGCCACGCGGCTACGATAGTGGCGGGACTATTGATATGAACGGATATATCGGCATTGATCATCAGAGACAAGAAATTGTCCTGTCTTATCGCGGTTCCTGGAGTATCAAGAATTGGTTTGCTGATGCTAGATCATCATGGTCGCCTTGCGATACATTCAGTCCTCATTGCAAAATGCACACCGGCTTTGCTAAAGGCTGGGAAGAGACCTCGGATTCGATCAAAGACACCATAAACAAATATCACAAGCTGTACCCAAGCTTCCGCCTACTTGCCACAGGTCATTCCCTTGGTGGCGCGGTGGCGACTATTGCCGCTGCCTACCTACGCGCTGATGGATTATCAATCGATGTCTATTCCTACGGCTCACCACGCGTTGGCAATCCCGAATTTGCTAATTTTGTCACGAGGCAGCCTGGTAATACATATCGTATTACGCATGGTACAGATATTGTTGCCAAGGTCCCCCCTCTAATTTTCGGTTATGCACATACGTCTCCTGAGTATTGGATCAGCAACGTATCTGCTACGGATGGCGTCCATGACTATAAACAGAGCGATATTTTCGTATGCACAGGTATTGCAAATCCTGACTGCAACGTTGGCACATCGACTGTTGGGAGATATGACCATTCCGACTATTTTGGAAAGATCGACGGATGCAAGTCCACCTTTCCTGGGTTCGGCAAGCGAGCCGAATCCGTGGACGGCATTGAGCTTACAGACCAGTTGATGGACATGGTAGCGAAGGACCGGGCTATGGCGAAGCACAGCGCTGAGATGAGAAACGCGATACTAGGAGGAGGGCAGGTTCCATCGTCACCTAAACCGACAGCCGGGAATAACAGGGTAGAACCACACGCAACCAACGGTGACGATCATCAACGGCAGACGATACAGCCGGCAGCAAAGCAGCAGGCACGGAAAGCTCCCGCGTTTGTCTTCTACGGTGACACCCTATGGCCGGCCGAGGCCAAGCGACAGGGCGGATTCACCACGCCGGCTGATATCCTGGCTCAATCCGGCATTCCGGCCGCGGCATACTCCTTGCGAACACACCTCAACAGACAAAACATGGCACTCCAGCCAGAGACCTATTTCCTCTCAACCTATGAAACCTTCGGGCGGCAGCCAGGATGCGGCAGCCAAGGCAGCCAAGTGGGGTGGAGCGTCAAACCCGGTAGTTTATCTTGTCCATGCTACACCAAACATGATCCGGGCAGGGAACGAGGTCGCCACCGCCGGAGGCATCCTCTGGTCGCAGGTTTCTGCCTGGACCCAGGTGCCTCGTAGCTATGCTCTTCCCGAGGAGGTGCCGAAAACCAAGCAGGAATTGCACGAGCACTTCATCAAAGCGTATACCGAGAGACCTAAGCAAATGTTCAACAAGAACCCAGACTATAACACGACATTCGACCGGTATACTACTAACGAAAATTCGAAGCTGCTGGACTCCAAGGAACCTAAAGAAGACTTCCTGAATTTCATGAGCGGATTTGGGAGCGCCGTAGGCTTCCATGGGAAACTCCCTCTTCTTCTTCCGGCGCCGGAAACATTTGACGGTCAAAAATCTGCGGAAGCTAAGGAGATGAATACTGTGCCTGCGCCGCACGAAGAAGGAGTCTTTGCAAAGATAGGCCACTTTATCTGGAATCACCCCATTGCGGTAGCCTCTATTCCTGCAGTTCTGGCGCTTAATCTGATCCCAGGGGTGGGAGGCAGCAGATGTCGCCGAACTCGCCGCTCTAAGCGCCGATACTATCGAGGCCGCCGGGGTGATGGCTGAAAGCACAACGGTAGTCACGGAAGTTACACCACTGCTCGAAGGGGGGGTAACAGCAGGTAGTGGTGACATAGAGCTTGAGAACCTGGCATTAAATGGCGTATAATAGCAGTTATGGATAGGGGGTAGTTAATGTGAAGGAACATCATGCATGTCTCACTTGTGAAAATTGTACAACTAGCCAAAGTGAGAGCCTTCCTTACGAAGCTCTTTCTTTCCCTTTTCTCTCCTTGTAGACAATCACTTTGTCCAAGCCGCACTCGACCTCGTTCGTGCCTTGTACCGTCACAGTGCATTTGAAGCCATAGAGTCAGCTCTACGGCCAAAGGCGCCGCCTACATGCAGCAAATGCCACCAGCAAGGGCACATCATAACATCTCGCAATTGTCCTTTACGCTATAGCGACATACTGCAGCGGGCAGAGGCACGGGCGGCACAGACTGCAGAGACTGCAGCAATTGCAGGGGCTGCACAGAATTGGCTTGTAGCTGGCAGGAGCTCTTCGTCAGAGATCATTGGCGTGTCTGGGAGCTTGAGAGACTCAGGGGCGTTGTCGTTGTTTAACAGGAACTTATACGCGATCTTGTCGATATAGGCGTCTTGCGTCAGCCAAAGCGTCTTCCTTTGACGATCGCGGAGGATACGAATCCCCAAGAACCAGCGAGGTTCTCCAAGCCGAGTTAGGCTGATCTTTTTCTGTAGTCCCCGAGTAGCTTCTTCGACGACCCTTCGTCCTCCTTCCGGAATGCCCAGATGATGTCATCAACGTAGAAGAAGACGGTCACCGCTCCTTCATCATGACACACGGCTCCTGGGGAACTTTTCTGAATCCCAGTTCCTCTAGAGACGACGTAAGCATCTGTTGCCAGAGGAGCGGCGAGCGGCGTAGTCCGTAGAGAGCTTTTCTCAGGCGTAGGACTTTCCCCCTCTTCTGGAACCCCGGTGGCATCCTCATGAAGATAACTTCTTCGTCGTCGAGGGGGCATGAACAAAGCATTGACCGCATCCATCTGTTCCAATTCGAGGTCGTGTTCCGCGGCAATGGCCATCAGCGTACGAAACGACATTCCTGCGAGGGTAGTCGCCCGAGTAGGCAGGTCCCCCTTTTCTTGCTGATTGCCACAGACAACGAGGCGAGCTTTGCACTTTTGGAGATTGCCGTGCTTATCAGTCTTATAGATGAATACCCACTTGCAACCGAGGACCTGCTTTCCAGCAGCCTTCGTCCAGAAGACCTCGTCAAACGAGCCCATTTCCGCATGTGAGGCCAGGTGGTCTCTCTGAGCCTGGGTGAATTCCTCTCTATACGGGTGTTTTTCTAGTTGCTTCTGCGTCTGTGGAGGCTCGGGTAGGTCTCTCTTGTGGACTTTTGCGCTTTTCGGTCTGAACAACCTTCCTGCTGTGAAGGCTCCGTGCACCCCGTCCTCAATTTGCACCGGGACGAAGTCGGCAAAACGGTCGATGTATGACTGATCCAGCTCTGGTTGATCAAATGGTTCCAGAGCCTTCAAACGCGATTCTTTCATCAGGCCTTCAAGGTCGGCTTGAAATGCCGCTCCTCCAAGAGAGCAACCCACCCCTCAGGGTGAGCCTCCTCTTCAGGATCATCCTGAACCCGGACTCTCTTCTGAGCTTGCAACGGCTCCAGATCGACTTGGAAAGGGGCTTTTACCACCACCCCATTAGGGTCAGCGTATGGAAAGTGAACCGAAAAGACTCCATGTGGTTCTTCTTCCTCCGGGTCAGAAGCTGGTGGCGTTAGGTATGCATCTTCCAGCTCCCGCGCTCTCCCGTAGTCTTCTTTTTCCTGCTCTTCGCTTTGTTGTTGTCCCTGCTCCTCGACTTCGTTATCTTCAGCCATGCTGATGTCATCATCCTCGAAGTCCTCGATATCAGTGTCTTCATCGGTCTCTTCGTCAAGGATGGCCTGATTCGCCGTCTGGTCTTCCGGGATTTCAATCTGTTGGATCATCTCTCCGATGCTCGCAGGCAGCGGCATCCGCTCGCCTCCTCCTTCGAAGAACGTATACTCGTCAAAGACAACATCTCTCGTTGCAATGACCTTCTTCAAGAGAGGGACCCAAATTAGGAAGATATTTGTAGACTTATAACCGATGAGGTATCCGATGTGAGCTCTCGGGTCGAGCTTCCACCTCTTCCTCAATCCAAGCTGTGCATTTGCTGTCATTGCGTAGGCTCGGCAGCCGTACGCACGAAGATGTGAGCTGATTTTTCTTCCTGTGAACAAGTCAATGGGAGACTTCCAGTCGGCTTCTCCTTCGTTAGCGTTTTCAGCGGCGAATCGAGGCTCTCTTGGCGTTCGGTTTCGGAGGTAGCAGGCTGCTTCGATGATCTCTTTCCATAGTGAATGCGGTAGTCGAGAGGCAATCCTCATGACTCTCGCTCTCTCGGTAGAGATCCTCCTGACCTCTCGGCTCCACCATTCTGGTCCTGAGTGTTGGAAGCTGACATCGCCTTTGTCATCCCTTTCTTCCTCATCCAGGCTGAGATTTTCTTCGTGAAGAGCTCGCCGTCAGAGCGCACGACATTCGTCTTAAATCCAAAGCGAGCGAGCATAAAGGAGGAAAAGTCTTTCAAGACAGCTCCGTGTTCCTTTGCCTTGTAGGTCTTCATGAAGTAGGAAAGACCATTCCAGAGAAGGCGTCTGTGATAAACATCACACGGACGTAGTTCTCGTGGTCTCTCGCAAGGTCGGTCCAGTCTATCCAGATCTCGTAGCACGGCTTGTCTCTTTCCTCGTCAGGTGGACGGCGGGAGACTTGCCTTCTGACCTTCCCCTGAGCACAGTACTCGCATTCGACGGTTTTCGGCCCCTTAATCCGGACCCCTTTGTAGGCCTAGCTTGTGCAAAGCCATTGGACCAGGGTGACCAAGACGGGCGTGCCAAAGCTTGCCGTCTCCTTGAGAGGCAGGTCGAGGATCTCTTGAGCCGGCTCTTCGAGCTTTCCTTGTCTCCTTCTTCGATGCCTGGAACGCACTGTTGAAATCCGGGAATTCGGTTTCCACGGGCTGGTATTCAACAACAAACTGCTGATATTTCCTCTCGGTGATCCCGATAGTCTGGCCTTTTCGGACTAGCCTCATAGGCTCAGACAGCGTATCCCAAAAGATCTGATCGTCGTCGATAAGAGTCTGCAAAGAAACCAGGCTCGATGAGAAACCGGGACAGTAGGCAACCTTCTTTAATCGGAGTCAGGCATCGTCGTTGCGACATTGACTCGCCCGAATCCTTCGATTCGAACGAGAGAGTCACCGGCGACGATAAAGTCATTCTTGGCCTTTTTAAACGATCGGAACCGACTGAGCTTGTTGTTGATATGAAGAGATGCGCCGCAATCAAGGAGGGTTGAATTCTTAAGTGGATATTCCGATCCCTTTAGGCCAGGGGACTCAGCTGAGAACACGAAAGCTGGGTTTGCTGAGCCCACAAGCCTTCCCCTCATCCTTGGTTGCTATTTCTGCATTTTCTTTCGAATCTCTTCAATCCTCCTTTTCAGGACAGGATCGTCAGCGACTCTTTCTCGTGTCATCTTGAGATACCTTTCAGGGGGCGGATTATAGCCCTTTGGTCTGGCCTCTTCGATGACCTGCCAGCAACCCTCGAGCTCGTGTCCCTTGCGTCTGCAGGCAAGGCAGGGATCTCTTTTGGAATATGGCTCCCTTTCCAAGGGTTCTCTGTCCAGCTTCTTCTTCTTCGCTGGCGGTACTTCGTCCGCATCGTCTGCGTCTGCTGCTGCTTTGTCCGCATGAAATGCGCCTCCTCTTTTGATAGCACCTCGGGGTTTTTCTGCTTCTCTGCTTTCGGCCAGATGCTTCACATCTCGCACGACCCTCTCAACAGTCCATTGACTCTCCGTCGGAGCTTGGGCTGCAAGAACGGCGGCGACTGCGGCCGTTGCTGCAGCGGCCATCGCGGCTACAGCCTACTGCAGCTGCTGCCGGATTGTGAACAACGGGGTTAACAGGAGCAGCAGCAGGAGGACCATATCGGTCGAAGTCGAACAGTTTCCCCTGGGTAGCCTCCGATTTTGCGTCGAGTATCCTGCTTCCTTGTTCGTACTGGTAGCCTAGGGAGTTATCCAGAGGCCTAATCAATGTGGCAACGTCTCTAAGCCACTGGCCCGTTTGGGCCTCCATTAGCTTATACTTATCGGCGTCAGACATTATGTCTTCCCATTTGTCGATCCAGGAGTCTAGATCCTTTGCGTTAAATCTCTTTAGGTGGGTCGAATACTTGGTCCTTGTGAGATTCATCATATATCCCGCTTCAGGGGCCGTCGACGCTTCTAGACGTTTAAACCACTGACGAATTGGAAGGTCTTCGTCGAAGGCGTTCTGCTTCGAGGATACCACTGATTCCTGCATCGCTATGCGAGCGTTGGTAACTAGTTTAGTCTCATCTTTATACTCTTTCCTCCTGGTATCATAGTCCCGCATCGCGTCGTTAGGTATAATCTCTCTTCTGAACGGCAGAGAGGTCAGCGAGTCTAACAGCATCAGGGGCGTAGTGGCGGAATTCAGGTCGCTCAGGAGGTTCGAGGGGTTCCTCGTTGGTAAAGATCAGGCTATGGATCGTCTTGTCAGTTCGATTCCTGAGCTCCCTTCTCCATTTGTCCCAGTTGCTTGGTCCTGAGAGGATCGCTCGTGCAGGGGCGGCAGAAGACTTCGACATCTCGTTGATTTGAGAGTGGTTTTCGGTCGGAATGGAAGTTACAGGAACGTAGTTCCTCCCGGGCTCATGACTGTCACTAAAAGTAGGGCCAAATAGGCATAAAGTTAGTATTTCAGAATCGTCCGGTGCTGCTCCATTTTTCGTTCTGTCCTCTGTGTCTGTTCCTTCCTTCCTCGCCCTTTTATTCCTGGCCACAATCTCGATCTTCTCCGTCTGCCTCACACCTCCGTCAATCGTCGGGGTGGCTGCCCCACTTTTCCTAGGACACCGTCCCTGACGGCCGGGCTGACTGTCTCAGCCGACGCATCAGAAAGCAGGCCTGACGTCCTGGCTGACTGTCTCAGCAGGAGCATCAGCAAGCAGGGAACCTCTAGAGGTCCTACGAGCGGCTTCGCAACATTCTTCGATCAACAGTATCCACCTGGAGAGCGTCCAGCGAGAACGGCGATGGGAAAAGCGATGCGACAAGATGAGCCCAGTCAATTCGATCAGTGGATGCAGAGCTACGATCACTACGCGATGGAAGAAGACGATGAGCTTGGAGCTTATATGAGGCAAGGGCCAGTCCGGCGAGAGAACTTAAACCCCATCCTTTGGTGGAAGGATCACCGAGAAGAATATCCACGTCTGAGCCAGTTTGCCCTCGACGTACTGGCAGTTCCTGCCATGTCTGGCGATCCTGAGCGAACTTTTAGCGTTACAAAGTTAACAGTAAGTTCGCAAAGGCACAGCTTGAGTCCCGAGATCATAGAGGAAATACAGTGTCTGCGGAATTGGCTAGGCCATCAAGCAATCACCGTGGGCGAGGTCGTAAACTTTGGTGGGGAACTGATAGGTTGGGATGAAGAGGAGGTGTGATGCATTGTACCGGTAGGGTGATTTTATTCTCACCTCAGATATCAAGTATATCAAGTATATCAATTCAATTCAAGTTAATCAAGTTTGCGGACTATTTTATTTCAAGTAATCAAGTTACAGCCCCGAACTTGACTTACTTGAATTGAAGTCAGCGCTGGTTATTACGCGACTTTCCCGACGTCATACAGCTTGACTGTACATATAAGACCAATCGCTTTAACATGCCTCTTCTCAATATCTGTGGGACGACCTCAGAGAGGAAGACCTTCTCTATAGCCTCGATTTTCCTTAGTGGCGAAGACGAATCGCGGTACCGCTGGGCTTTCGCTACGCTGCTTGCACTGCTAGCAAAGGAGAACATTCGCCTTCCCCGCGTGATACTTACGGACCGAGACCTCGCTCTAATGAACGCTATCGTGAGCTTCAAAGAGCTCGAAGGCGTGGTCCATATACTCTGCCGCTGGCATGTCAACAAGAATGTATTGGCTAAGTGCAAACAACACTTCCCTAAGGCTGTGAGGGACGCCCAAGGTCGGGTTGTCCGCGAGCCTACATTCCAGGCGTTTCTAGACGAATGGCAGGCTCTGTCCACGTTAATCTAATGAATACTATAATAGCCCTGATATTCTACAATTCCTCTATATCAGGACTGATAAGCTTTATAACAATTCTCTAAGCTATCATTGATCTTATTAAAAAAGGCCTGGCTTGCATTCTTCTTCTCAGCCGGAACATCAGCTAAATAGATCTTGCTTAGAGCCGAGAACCCAGCTTGCGAACTCTTGAGAACGACCAAAATGGCGGGCTTGATAGGTATAATAAGTTTGTCGACTTTCGGTTTAGCAGCAATACCGCTGTTAATGGCCACGTCCACGTCTGCTGCCAGAGACTGAGAAGCGTTTTGCCTCATCTGCAATATGTCGTCTGTGGGGGGATTATAGGTGCGAGGTGCAACGACGGCAACGACGGCGGTGACGACTCCGCGTGACTGCTCGATAAGTCGTAGGATGCCAGTATAATCTCCCTTCCAGTTGATGAGCCCCTTGTCTACACCGCGCACACTCTGACTAATGCCGTTCAGAGATGTAACAATGTAGTCATCCGCCGCGAGGGTGGAGGCCACAAGAGAGATAAAGCATAGAAGCTTCAACTGCATGTTAAACTAGTAGTGAATATATGATTTGGTTGTAATGATCTAAGTGCTGAGGACGATCTAGGATATGAGGTTCTAAGTGACTGCAAAACATACGATCTCTTATACTCCGTGGCAGCCTTCAACTTCAATCAAGGCGCACCCTTTGGGCTTGGCGTTTGATGATCAATCTGTCTCTTACCAATTCGTCAAAATATGTGAACTGGCACAAGGTATCTCGACATCATATGAGTCGCAAATCAGCCACGAGACGTAAGTCAACGCCGTGTTTCAAGACCACTGCTTTTCACCACATACAAAGACACGCTATAGCCTATAACGCTATAAAACTTAACCACTCTTATGTCACTCGGCACTATCGGTACTGCATTCTTTAAGACATCATACGCGGCTTTAGTCGATCCCCTCTCTTATCATATATGCAGACCGTCCGCCGGTATATCTAATCACCGAAAATCAATATCTTTTAAGACATAACGATTGACCGATGCAGGTCCTAGACATATCATTGCCGAGCTTCGCTTCTTCCAGGCATGCATCTTGCCCCTTCCAGCAGATGGCTGGTTTTCGTTCCAGTGTTTACTCCCTAGCTAGGTCCACATTTAATGACTATGTTTCTATCTGTATCTGTTGGTGAAATGTTATGTCAATACACATCGGAATAAGGGGATCACACAGCTAGGTTCAAGATGTATGTTCTATTTCTAAAGGGTGCAGCCTGAAGGGGCTATTTATACCCGAGGTCTTTAGGGACTTCTGGGGACCCCCTGGGGCCTGAGTAAGGTGCTCTACCCACGCATAGGTGGCTGTGCTCACGCATAAAGGGGTAGTCTTCCTTACTGAGGAAGTCCTCATGCGTTCCTTCTACATAGGCCAGGAATCCCTTCATATCGAGGCTGCCCCAGTCCACCGACAGTATCGTAGCATTTCCGATTCTCTGTTGTCGCGAAATTTCGCCTCTTGCTGATCGGTTACATCGTCGTTTCTTTCGCGGCCAATCTGTCTCAACGACACGAGGCAGCGATATGGCCATTGTGCCCAATCTCCTGGCAACGCCGTGACGCGAGTATTCAATGCCCTGTTCGATCCTGAACTTCACTACGGCGAGGGCGACGATATGCCTTATAGGTAACTACTGAGCTGTCGCCACGAAGTCAGCTCCTGCATCTGCCCTAAGTCTGCACTGGCGTCTCCCAAATATGTAGTCCAGTTCATTTGGGCGATCTCTAAACTCGTCTTGTCGCGAAGCACTGTTGCGATTGAACTTACTTCTATTCAATTCTGTCTGACAGCTCTCAACATATATATACATAGTGGCACGTCCGTGCCACTATCCAGTGACTCACCACTTGTAAGTGCTGCCTAAACATGTCTTGGTCCATGTCTCATACCAAGTCAACAAGCACGTCTGAGATCTTGAGCTCGGGGTGACCATAAGGGGTATACAGCTAAGGGCCCCGACAGGCTAGATCGTAAGGCAGCCTGCAAAGAGTTCTGAGACTGCAGAAAGCTATTAGGAGACCGCATTAGGCAGCCACATAGGCTGTAGAGAGACTGCATATACGGGGGAAGCTGAAAGAGCCCTCGGCGACTAGGGAAAGTCAGTATGCAAGGGGGCTGGGAAAGGAGCCCAGCCCCTTAGATAATATGCCTATACAACTGAAAAGGGGATATCAATAGGGAACCAAGGGATATAAATAGGAGCCTAGAAGAGGGCATTGCAAGAGGACAGACAAGACGGAATACAACAGAACACACCTATTATTAAAACAATCAATGCCCACTTGCATGCTCTCTTCGTGAGACGTCTTGGGAAAAAGATGGACGTAATATTCAGCTCAGCTGCTCAAGTAATAAAATTAATAATGGAAGCTGGGTTGAGACATGACGCTGCAGAAATCTTAGCTGCCTCACTAGCTATGCTGGTAGGTAGGGTACTTCTAGACTATCTGGGACAAGCTCTGGAAGTGTAGGCATTGCATATTTGGAGAGAATAGACAAGTCTCACATGATTGGCATCACGTCCGTTTCTGCAGCGATTAATGGGAGAAGAACGGCTGTCGCGCCACATCCGAGGCTTTTGCAGCTTTGACTTACACTTAGTTAGCGCCCCAAGGGGTAAGCCAACGGGTATACGTAAGGGGCTCCAGGGACTTGTTTAAGCAGCAAACGCAGCAAGGATCCTCCCTGACTTTGAAGTTCATCGCCCGCAAATTATACCGAGTCTTCTAGCTTTGGCCATTACTCCCTTAAGCTACCAACATGGCCATCAAGACCACTGAACAGGGCCAATCAATCCTATTTTTTGGCATAGGAGACCTACGAGTGCGAAGATTCTTAATGATGCAAGTTCTCGTCATCTTATTCTTCTCTTCCTGTACAGCACTCCTATCCTCCTTGTCAGCAATGAATGCTTGGGCAATACCCCACGCAGCTACCACGGTCACCAAGCATCCATCACCTATCATGAGTCGCCGTACCAACGATACCCTAAGTTCCACTGCAAACAACCTACAGGCACCAGTTCAAGATGCTTCTGCGGGTTCTATTGCGCTATTGTGCGCCGATGTCTGGTTTGCTTTGGGTTCCATCGCCGCTATCGACGCATTCTGGATTGTGGCAACGTTCAACCGCACCTTAATAAAAAACTGGCATTATTTTGTTAGCTTACGCATGATGGCGATAGCATCCGTCGCCTCGTTTGTTTTCTATTTGACAGGGAAAGAGACTTCAGCAGGCTATATATTCCAGCATCCTGTATTCGCCTTACTCATATCTTTGGCTGTATATCTGCTTTTCGGCCTCACCCTTCAGAAGTTGCACAAGCCCCCGCCAACCACGGCTGTAAACGCGCACTTTGGCTCTATTCAAGAGTACAGTGCTAGAGTATGTGCGTCAGCATGCGGATGGTGGCCTGCGATACAGGCCACGGTGGTTATCGGAGCTCTTCCTGTGCTACTCACTGCGGTCATGCCTCAAAGATGGTCAACCATTGTGCCATTGGTGGCCATTAGCTTCGAGGTAAGAACATTGTCTCCCCGGGCCCGACTCCTTTCCTACCATAACAAATTCACTTACTGGACAGTTTGATCTAACTTCTGCGTAGTCGATTTTCCTTGCATTCAAAAAAATGGGCAGAGGCCCCGAGTACACCATGTGTGGCGGTACCTTCGTCCAAGCTGTGACGTGTACTCACTGGGGGCTTCCTCAAGCGATGGCGAACCCACGTCTGGCCCTTCCTGCATGGGTTTTCTTGGTCTTGCTAGTGGCTGGACGTCTGATATTAGATCTACACATGTACACGGTTTTTCGCAACTATCCCGAATTCTTATGGGCACACAAGCGAGTACTCTTATCGACCAAAAGTCTGGTGAGTATTTGTGTCGGCATGCTGATTATAGAATGCCTGGGATGTCCAGTGGTCTCTTACTTCAAGTTGATTGTGGTGCCTACATGGTACTCACTAAGTGTCCTGGGCGTTGCGGCGCCTGCGTCATATGGCCTTGCCGTGAGTAAGGTGAAGGTGATATTGTCGAGAAGAAGGGTCCAAGACTTGAGCTTGAAGCCTGACAGCTAGCTGAAGGTGTAGGTACGAGAGGGGAGGAGACAGGGAGGACGTGGCATGCTGACGTGGGAGAGGGAACCTATGCTTTAGTGAGTCAGCAAGGAAGAAGATGAAAGACTGAAGAGAGGGCAAGGGCCATAAATGGGAGAATGGTACAGCAGAGAGGGAGCAGAAGAATAATGAAGACATGACCCTAAAAATTATGCCCTCTGCCTTGCTCTCTGTCACAAGTAACTGGAAGATGCCATGTATGTGAGGGTTATATAGAGTCAAATTGGCCTTAACCACTGCCCAAGTCAAGGGGACAAAGGTCCCAGTTATATACACAAGAATGGTGCCCCTGTAGATAGGAGCCTCGCAAAGCCCCTAGGCCGGTGTTTTCAGCATACAACCAGCTCCTACTAGGGATAGGCTTTCTGAAAGCTTACCTAGCTAGAGCAAGAAAGACAGACTTAGAAGGGTGTAGGTATGGCTCGTCCAGACATACTGCCTGTTACGATCAAGGCCGATATGGATAACCAGAAGGGACTTGGAAGAATAGTTAATTATCGACTTCTTAAGGAAGAAGGGAAGAGGAAGAGGAACTGAAGAAAAGGAGGAAGCGGTCTATATACGTAACGGTATGTGGAAGTGGATACCGTAACACTGCCTCACACCTTATTCTTAGTTGTAAGAACTACACGAAGGAGAGAAACCAGCTAAGAAAGGCCCTAAGAGGGCAGCCGCTAACCCTTCCTATTCTCTTTACAACTGTGACGGCCTAGCACCGTCACACCCCCCTTGCATACATGACCCACATGTTGTTGGGCCAACGGCCCACACGTACGGAAGGCATATTTAGGGAGAGGACACCCAGTTGTATTGTTCGGTTCTCCTTTCTCTTCTTCAGAGCAGAATCTTCGTAATAGAGTCCACAGCCTTCTGGCTCAGTCCGTGACCGTCACACTATTCTGCTCTCAACCACGCCATCGCTGCCGAGCGATTCATAAAAACGCCACGACTTTACCCCATGCCAAGACTGCGCTCGGCCGGCCCACTTGAACAGGACACGGCCCTCCATAGATCGCAGCTCCCACGACCCGTCTTACCAAGCATCGAAGACCAAGACCAAGACCAAGAGTCCAAGACCAAGACCAAGACCAAGACCAAGATCAAGACCAAGACCAAGACCAAGACCAAGACCAAGACCAAGATCCGAGATCAAGACCGAGATCAAGACCAAAGAAACAGTTCAGGGACCATCGAATCGCACATAACCATCCAGGAAGGACAGGGACCTAAAATGGCTGACAGCACCAATCAGGAGGGCAGCAGCGGCTTGTTCACCGAATTGTCTCCCGAGCAGAGACAGCAATTAACCGACCACATCAGCCGAGAAGTGGCCCGTTTGGTCGCCCAAGTACGAGTGACCGAGCCAAGAGACAGCCAATATGGTGAAGATGAAGTCAGCACACCAGGCCAACGGGAAGGAACAGCCTTTGACGACCGCGAAGAATTCCGGCCGTCAGGATATGCGGCCCTTTAGCCTTCCGGAGATATGAGTCGATGGATGGCACCAACCCAAACTATAGAGAGGGACGGAAACGTCGGGAGAGAAACCCACCATGTTCTCCGGCGAAGGGACTCCCTTGTTTGAAAGCTGGATTAAGCAAGTAGAGGGCAAGTTCGAGGAGGACAACGATACTTTCGCCTCTGAGAAGACGCGGATCAACTTCGTGATTACGCGTCTCGAGGGCACCGCGTATAAGACCGTAGAAGGACGCCACCACTCGCTGACTCGGCCTTTCACAACATTGGCCGAACTAATCCAGGTCCTCCAGACAGCGCACACAAACCCAAACAAAGGCGCCGACGCCCGCGCCCAGCTGCGTGTCTGCAAATACGATTGGAAGAAGGACTTCAATATTTTCTTGGGAATTCAACTCCATGTACGAGGCGGCGGGGTACCAACCTTCAATGCAGAAACAGACCCTGTGGGACTCTCTTCCTGCGCCGGTCAACCAAGCGGTGGTCGAGAGGGTCTACGATACGAAAGTGCGCTACGAGGACTTCTGTGAGTCAGCACAGCACCAGGTGTTCGTGGCCCGCCACAACTTTCCGAAGCGCAAAGAAGCGCAACCACTCTAGTAGTAGTGGTAGCCGAGGGTTCGGAACAATGGCGGCAACCGTAACAATGCCCGGGGTCGCCACCGGGAACAAACTGACAACGAAGGGCTAGCCGGGAAGCTGGAGGAACCGTATCTCCGAGGAAGAGAGGAACGTCGCCGCATCAATAACCTGTGCTACCGGTGCGGAGAATCTGGGCATATCGCCCCATTCTGTCGCACCCGCAACAACAACACCCGAAAGGCAGCCACGAAGACCGTGGAGAGCAGGCGGCCCCAGTCAGCGCAGCGACAACCAACACCGCCACGGGCAAGGGCAAAGTTTGCGACCCAGACTCGAGCAGTTCGGAGTCGGAAAACGAGTAGGCCAGGACAAAGTCTCGTTCCTGGCCGACTTGGTGTCTGTGATTGGAGCGGCGGATTTGGACAGACTCATGCCTTGAGGAATGCCTTGAGGAACGAAAGGATTATGCCCCGCGCCCGGACCACCCAAACTTTTTTCCCCTCGAAATCTTTGGCCTCTGATTGGCCTCCTAAGCCCCGCCCTCCTATGCCTTGAGGAACGAGGAACGAGTGACGAATGCCTTGAGGAACGAGGAACGAGTGACGAAAGGTTCTTAGGGTTCCTCCCCGGGGAGAAAAAAAATTCGCCATCGATTTCCCCCCCGCAAATGCCGCCCTCTGATTCGCTGGCGTTCTCGCTTTTGATTCGTCGGTTGTTCTTTTCTCGCTTTTGATTCGTCGATGTTCTCGCTTTTCATTCGTTAATAAATAAAAATAAATAATGCCCTGCCCCTTTTTTTAGTTCCAGCTGCGCAGTTCGCTTCCAACGCCTCCGTAGACCATACGCCGCCGCAGACCACATAGAGGAAGGTGCCCAAGCCGGCCCGGCTTCTAACTCCGCCATAGACCACACGCCTCCACAGACCACCCCCTTCGCCCGTCCTCCTGGCCCTTAACCTACACTCCTTTTACGTCAGAAGTGTGGAAAATGCAGGGCGCCTGCGTTACCTGCGGAGCCAGTCGGCCGCCTCCTGTGTTGTCTGCCTGCTAAGCTCCTCTAGCCGGGCCTGCGCTGCCGTCATCTCCTCAGGCACCCGGTTCCCCACTAGGTCCCGCTCCGCACCTCTGATACGAGCATGATGCCGTCGAGCGTCGGGCACCGCGACAGCTGCACGTATAGGCTATACGGGTCGCACGACGACGGCACCGCCCTCCCCTCGACCGTCGTCATCCTCGCCCCCCGCAGCTCCAGCGCCACGCGCTCTAGCGTCCCGCCCTGCACCTTATAGTCGGTGCAGGCGAAGGCCGCCGCGCACGGCAGGCCCCTGGCTGACGTCGTTGCGCTGCCATGGCCGCTTCCGCTGCGCTGTGATCTTGACGCTGATGGGCGTTAGCAGGATCGTCCCGGCAGGCATCCCGACGAAGTGGAAGTCCTTGGTCGTCTCCGAGGCCAGCACGATGCCCGCCGGCGGCCGAAGTGCATGATGAGCTCCGCCGAGACGCGGTGGCCGGGAAGGCGCGGTCGGGGATGACGTCCACCGCCGTGTACCCGGCCCCGTTCACAAGCTTCAGCCCCTGGTGCGTGTTCTGGTTCACGACGACCGGCATGCCTGGCACGAAGAGGAAGACGGCCGGCACCGGGGTCGCGCTGTCGTCGCCCTGGCCTAGCATTAGCACCGCCTCCTCTTCCGTCGGCACGCCGTCCCTCCACTTATGCTCGGAGAGGAAGACGCGCGCCGCCGTCCGCCGCCCCTCCCGGAACGCGAGCGCCGCCTCTAGGTTGAGGTTCCAGCGGTTCCGGTTGAGCGGCGTCACCACCGTCAGGCCCGTCTCCCACGGGATCCGCCTGCCCGGCCGGTAGCATCTCGAGTTGAGCAGCTCTAGGTCCGACCGGTCCTGCTCGCCCCGGCGGATCCGCCCGAGCAGCCGCCGCAGCTCCGGGTCGCCGGCGGCCCGCATCTGCTCGTCTAGCATGACGACCGTCGTGAAGCGCCGCCACAGCGCGTGCGCCTTGTCGTGCTGCCGCCGCTGCTCGGCCGCGAACGCCCCGTCCTCGTCCCACGCCACCGCCGCGCTCGGCAGCAGGATCGACCGTTCCTGCACCGGCCGGAACTGGTGGAAGTCGCCGCAGAGGATCACTACCGGGATGCCGCCGAAGTCCCGCGCCGACCCCCGCAGCCGGCAGAGCTGCTCGTTGGCGGCGTGCAGCGTCCGCGCCCCGAGCATGCTGACCTCGTCGATCACCAGCACCTCCTTCTCCTGCCAGTCCATCCGCGACCGGCCGTCGACGAAGCGCTCGCCCTGGCCCGCCAGCCGTACGCCGTCAATGTCCCTCGTCGCCCCTCCGCCCGGCCGCCCTGGCCGACCGTAGGCCGCAGGCCGAGTGCAGCGTGATGCCGTTGATCCGCGCTGCCGCCGTCCCCGACGTCGCCGTAACCAGTACCCGGCTCGATAGGTCCTCCGGGCGAGCAGCTCGACGAGCGCCTCGATGACGCGCGACTTGCCGGTGCCGCCCTCGCCGCCGATGAATAGGCAGAGCTGGCCACCACCGTCGCCGCCTGCGTCGTCGCCCTGCCGGATTCGGTCGAGTTGCCGGCACACGATTAGGAGGGCGATGGCCTGCTTCTCGTTGAGCGTGAGCTGGCCCGCCAGCTCCCTGCCGGCGGCGACGAACGAGCTCGACGGGCCGAGCCGCACGCGCATCCCCGCCGCCGTGCCTGCGTCTGCGTCGCCGTCGGCCGCCGTTACGTCGATGTCGTCCTCGCCGAAGCCCCCCATCACCCCGCGAAGGGCCGCGCCGCGTCGGCCCCGACGCCCGCCGCCGCCCCGCCGCCCTGGATGCCCTGGATCGCCCGCTCCCGCTCCCGCGCCGCGCTCCTCTGCTGCGACTTGATGGCCCGCACCTCTTCTTGCCGCGGCAGTGCCGCCCCGACAGCGCCGAGCCCGGTAGGTTCACCCGCCTGCCTGCCCTCTCGTCCGCCACCACCGTCGCCGCGAGCTCGGCCGCCGACCCGAGCGCCGACTGCTGGAACCGGCAGAGCTGCTGCGTCATCGCTAGCAGCTCCGTTGACTGCGCCGTGACTTGTCCCGCGCTGGCGGCGTTCCGGACGACGTCGATGAGCCGGGCCGCGTCGCCCGCCCGCCGGCGCGGTATGCCTCCTCGCCCCCTTCGGCCGCCCCTGCCTTCGTCGTCGGCCTGCGGCGCCGTCATACCGCCCTCCTCGGCCGTGGCGGCCCACTGCTGGCGTCGCGCTTCGCGTCCTCCGCCGACCGCCGGAGGAGCTGCACGTTGTCTGCGAGCCGCGCGACCCTCGGCGCCAGCGACTCCGCGCCCGTGCCCAGATGTTGTTAATGTCGCCTGCCTCCTCGCCGAGGAAGGACTCCCACGGCACGAATAGGGCCAGGTGCTGCACCGCCGCCCTAGATGCTGTTAGCCGATGCCCCTAGCTGCTCTGCCTTCCTCTTAGGCGCCCCCCGTCTTATAGTACGCACCTCCGGTGGCACGACTCGTCGTCTTCCTCGCTGAACTCCTTGCTGAGGTATCCGTCGACGCATACAGTCGCCCCGCAACCCGGCCGCCTAAGCGCCTGCACCCAGCCCTTCCCCGACGCCCAGCTCTCCGCGAAGGGTACCTCACCCCAGCCCGCCATACCGTCGGCGCCGCTGCCGTTTTGCTTTAACCTTACAAGCGATGCGTAGTCATAAAGGCAGAGGCCCCGCAGGAGCTCGCCCCGGTGCCGGTAGGCCTCGACGAGAGGATCCTCAGGCCAGCCTCCTCGACGACGACCGTCTCGTCCGGCGCGTCGCCCGTCGCCTCGGCGCCGCTCGCCCGTCGGAGGTGCCGCCACCGGCGGAAGACGGCCCAGTAGAGCTGGTTTGCGTTTATATACGCCCACGCTGAGCCGCTGCTAAACTCCGCCGGGTACCCTAGGAGGTGCGCGATCACCTCGACCTGCGACAGCGGCCGCTCCGTAAAGACTCGATTCGCCGCCTTAAGCAGGAACGTTCTCGTCTTATTTCCCCCTACGGGGTCCGCCGCCGTCGCTACCCCTTCGGCCCCGCCCTCCCGGCCGGCGTCGCGGTCGGCGCCACTTCTGTTGCCCTCTCCCGTCGGCTCTAGCACAGGAAGGAACTCGGCCGCGGCGGCCACACGCTTCCACACCGGGTCCTCTACCTTCGTCGCATAGTTAGTAATATAGTAGATTAGGGCCATGGTCTTGCGCTGCGTCGCGATGAACGAGATGTCGTGGTTGTGTCGTAGCCCCACTGCCATCGCCCTGTTCCACCGGTTCACCATGCTATGCGTCCGCCGGATCTCGAGCACCCCGTCCGCCGTCAGCGCCGTCCTCTCCACCAACCTCCACGGCGCCTTAAACCGGCAGAGGTCCCCCTTCCGCGCCCCCACGCCGAGCGAGTATTTTACGCAGGTCGCGCTATGCGTATGGATCTGCGTCGCGCCCGCGCAGAAGTTGGCCTCCTCGTCGAAGGTGTCCGTGAAGCGCGCGACGTCGTCGAGCCGCGACGATATGTCCGCCGTGGCCGACCGCTCTGCCTGCATGGCACAGTAACCTTCTGCGTCTAGCTCCTGCGGCCTCGGTTCAGCTTAGGCCCCTCAGCCTGACCCAGATAGGGGCATCGGGGTTTGTGTTAAGGCGGCCGCCTTACCTCAGAGAAGACGCTATCTACGTAGCGGACGATGCGCTCCCGGTACGCCGCCTGCTCCTCCGCGTCCGGGCCGGCGAGCGCGTCGCCAATGCCCGCGTTGCCCCTTAGCCAGAGGAGCCCGTGGATGTGGAGGCGCCTCGCTCGTTGGTCTCTACCGCCCGTAGTATGCGCCGACGTGGCCGAACACCGACTCCTCCCCGACGTTGACGTAGTGCTCGAAGAAGAGCGTCATCTCCCGGTGGAAGAAGACGGCCGAGCTCATCGGGTCCGATATGGCCAGCCGCGTCCGCTTATACGCGGTCCCTAGGTCACTTAGGAAGGCCTCGGCCTCGTCGGGGTCGCGGCCGCGGTGCGCCGCTAGCCGTAACTTTACTAGGTTCGTAATGTCGTTCGGGTTCAGCGTGAACCAGATAGCCGGCACCCGTACCTAACGATGAGGATAGTATCTTCTTCCGCATACTAAGGCGGCTCTCCTCGACATTGGCTGCCGGTAGCCGAACACGGAGAGGGACCGGAGGGCTCTTTACCCCGTCGTCGCTAGTCTTACCTGTGGCCTCGAGCTCGGCCTGGCCGCCTCGAGCCTCTGCGCCGTTAACGACTTTAGTAGGCCCTCGACCCTTGCGAAGTTCTTCCTCGCTACGCCTAGCATGCTGGCCTGGCGGTTCTTAGACCGCACGCCCATGTTAAAGACAAGGAAGGCGAAGATAGGGTGCGTCGCGAACCGGCCGCCGTGACGCCGCAGCACGACGTCGGCCCATGCCTGGAGCTTCATGTTCCGCGTCGACATAAGGCCCTCTGCAACCCGCTCCGCCTGGGCGCCCTGGTTCCCGACGCTAGGGCCGCGCTCTCTCCCGCGGCGTCCTCGTCGGCGAGCCTCGGCCCGCCTAAGCCAAGGGAACAGGGTCGGAAGGCCTTTGCAAAGAAGGAGGCGTCCGCCGAGTCGGCGAAATCCTCGCCGCGTCGCACCTGTATGTACGGCTCGCCGTCGCCGCCGTCGCCCGCCGCCCCTCTGGCCGCCGTCCCTACCCACGTCCTCGGGCTGGCGCGCGCTCCCTCGGGCCCGACCGCGTCGCGGGCGAAGCGAATCTTCTCGGCGTCGGCCACATCTGGCGCCCCATCTAACGGGAGTAATCAAACATACACTCCAGATTTTCAAACATACACTCCCGACCTAAGCCCCATTTGGAAGAAGACCCCGCCACCAAAATTTGGCGCGCGCTTTCCCAACGCCGCTGCCGCGGCTGCCTGCCTAGATATATTGTCGCATATCACGCCCGTGTCAGTTCCTGAAACCTTATGCTCGATCACTGCCACTGCTGCGCCGCGGCTTCGCCGCAATGATCAGGGTATATATTGTTGCACGAATGTGTGCATCGATCCTTTTCCTTTCCTTTGTTCTTTAGATAATTCTCATCAATTGACTGATGCCACAAAGATCAACCGCTGTCACGTGCGAGGTGTGGGACACTATTGTCTGACATATATGGATTCTATCTGCAATTATTACCAACGCCGGAAGATGCATCCCTTAGAGTCATTCAATTGAAGCTATCAATAAGCCCGGCCCGATCGATCTTCCGATATATATACAATATGCATATAATGGCGGAAGGTCTTTGCCTACCTCTGTGACTGTGACTGTGACTGTGAGGAAGGATCCGTCCGACGCGGCGGAGGGCGAGGCACGTAAGGAACGAATTTGTGACCGGCCTGCCTGCTAGTTTTGTATGGTGCCGTGTCCCTCTGATCCCCTAGCTGCTGGAAATGCTCCGTAGCCGTCTCGTGAGACTGTGCCGGCGGCTGTGCCCACATGAAGCCGTCGTGATGTGCCTGTGACGAGGAGGCGGTTCTTGCCACTGTGACGGCGCCGGCGCCTGTACGTATACAGGCAGAATTGGTGTAGGCGGTGGCATCACATAGTCTCCTGTGACGGCGGCGCCGGCTGTGGAAGTGAGGGCATCGTCGTTTGGTATCCCTGTGACACCAGCGGCACCTGTGGAAGTGAGGGCACCTGTGATAACAGCACCGGCGTTGCTGCTGCTTGTGACTTGATGAAATCACCGATCTGCTGGGCAAGATCGTCAACCCGGCTGCTCACGGAAGCAAGTGTATTCGACCTCTTGTTCATGATAGTGGTGCCTGTGCCCTTCCTCTTCTTCTTTTGCGTCTCTGGTGGCCGTGATACGAGCTCTGGGTTGGCTCTATGCTCCTCTTGCTCCCAAGCACTAAGGATCCGGCCCGTAGATGCCTCTAGTGGAGGATACCTCGCGTCTACTGTTTCCACGCCGGCGAGGCTGGACAACGTCAGGATCGGCTTCGTGGTCTGCATCGATATATTGCTGTTGTTCAGGCTGCTAGTAAATTAGTATAGTACTTATGGCTGGAGCAAGATACTTACAGTCACGCCGTAAACCCGCCAGTGGTTATCAATAAGATGCAATGGTATAAGGGCGGCCGCGTCAGCCTGGATCAAATCGCGGATTGTATGCCGGCAGGGCAGCCCCCATTGCATCGTGAAAGCACCCGTACAAATCGTAGGCATGCCTCGATTATCGGCAAGCTCAGCCGGGCTAGCCTAACTTGCCTGAAGATCTGTTTCATCGGCTGCCAGCCAATTTTTCGGTGCAGTGACTTCGCAATCGTCTGCTTGGCCCATTCAACTCTAGCTCTTGCAAACTCGGATTGAAGCTTCTCGCGATGCTTCTTTTGCCGATGGGTAACGAGCCCTCTGATGTGCTCTTGTAGCTGATGGAGGTCAATGAAGCGGTTGCGTAATCGTGACTTCAACTCGTGATGTGTGCTCTCCACACGGGAAGTTACCGTAATGTTATAATTTCGGTACTGTTGGATAGCGTAGGTGGAAAACTGGGCACGCCATGGCCAGTAGGTTGTACGGAGGTAATTAACGAGAGCTATAAGAGGAGCTATTTAGTAAAGGTTAGAGTAGGAGGGTAGTTAGGGCTAGGGTTACCTGGCTGATCCGAAAACTCTATACAGAGTAGATCCACTGATCTCTGCACTCCTCAGCCGTGCGAGCCCTAAAGACTGAAACCCAGGCATCACGGATACCGTCAGCTGTGTGCTCAAAAGTCCGCCTTGGAGCCGGGGTAGTATTGGGTTTCCATCGTCATCTTCACGATCATCTTGTTGCTCAACGCACTGATCTGCCAGTTGTGAGGCATGTTGAATCTGGTAATCAGTGGCACGGTCGATAGGTCGGTCCTCGTCAATGGCATTATCTGCCTGTATAGGGTCGTCGAGAGCTGCTGCAGCGAGGCGAGTCTCCTGTTCTGGCCTATCTCCGCCAATCTCGGTGCCATCGAGGATCCTTCCACTTCTTCTTGATGTGAAGGATCACGTTCTTCATCATATGCCAAACGCACACTTGTTGTTGCGTTGATGGGAAGATAGAGTCAAGGGCGTTCTTCAGGGCGGTATCAAAGTCGGTAATCACAACGCCCGGGTCCGGAATATCAGCCTGCCGACCAGCCTCACGCAACTGTGAGAGGATCCATTGGAACGCGCCTTCGTCTTCCTTGGCAGTGAGGCCAAAGCCTACACTGAAGCTCTTGTGTAGCCCTGTTGTGCCAATGATCTGTAGAAGCGGCATGTTAAAGCGGTTGACCTTATACGTATTATCCATGATAAGGAGCTCGGGGTTACGCTTCCAGTCAGCAATACAGTCATCGTATGTCCAGAAAAACCTCCAAACCTTCCCATTAGGGCCACGGTCAACTGCATAGTAGCTGATTTCCCCTTTGCTTTAGCATCTTTGAGTACATCGAGGAAGGCTTGTGTAGATGTAGAGGCGCCGTAACGGAAGGCACGAAGTTGCAGCTGGATGAAGTGTATATCAGAATCGGTAATAAGGAGCTCAGGATATTCCTGTCGGATAGCATCCACGATATCCCTGCTCTTGTTATTGACGTTCTTGCTAAGCCCTCGACGAGGCTATGAAGACGCTCGATGCCGAATTTGCGTTGGCTTCGTTGACGGACGATGGGGTTAGCAATTGGCTCAAATAGAGGTTCGTGGTTATGAGAGCCGTGCTTGATGGTGACTTTGAATGCATTGCAACGTCGGTAGAAGCGGATGTAACAGCGAAAGTCACATCCCGACTTCTTGGATGACGTCTTGTATATACCCTCTGCCTCGTCCCAGGGCCTATACTGACCACTGTATTCACAGCGGATATTGGCTTCCTTGCGCCTAGGCTTGCCGGTATTCTTGCTATTTGCAACGACTACGACGTAGCCAAGGAGCTCTTGCGTAGCTTTGAGTGTTTCAAGCGCCTCATCATACGTATCGAAAGACATCTCCGTGATAGCCTCGGTGCTACTGTTGGTATTGCTTTCGGTCGAATTCATCGGGACGATTGACTAGACGTGACTATTGCGGTAGGCGGCGGCGGCGTTGCTGTTGTGTTGAGTCAAGTGGTGATAGCTTCAATTGTTGATGATTGCGAAAATGCAGATGGCGGCCAAAAAGGCAGGTGGCTGGGCGGGTGGGCGGCGGCGATGGTCACGGCAAGCCAGGGCGTTGGGAAAGCGCGCGCCAAATTTTGGTGGCGGGGTCTTCTTCCAAATGGGGCTTAGGTCGGGAGTGTATGTTTGAAAATCAGGAGTGTATGTTTGATTACTCATCTAACGGGAACATGCCGGAAGACGTTACCTCATTGATTACGTCCCCGTCCTCTTCGGGCCTAGCGCCGTCCCTGTCGTCGTCCTCGCACGTGAGCCCGACGTCGCGGCTCCCCTCGGCGGGGTCCTGGCCCTGCCTTAGCATCGCGAGGACCTCCTCGATCTCGGCCGCGCCTCCGTCGTCCATGGCCCGCTCCGACGGCGGCACCACCTGCGCCGTCTGCGTCCTCTCCCGCGCCGACGGCTCGTTTCGCTCCAGCCGCTCGCACACCACCGGCGGCACCGTGCGGCGGCGCCCCAGCTGGCTATCTCCGCCGCGTCGATCTCGACCTCGCCGTAGAGCGGGTTGTTCTCCTTGAGCCAGGCCAGCGCCCTCTCGACCGCCGACCGCCTTACCGACAGCAGGCCTGATAGGTCCCGCGGCCCGGGCCTCTCAGCGCCCTGCCACGAGACGTGGATCTCGTCCATGACCCGGACCAGCGGGTGCGGGAGCACCTGGCAGCCAGGCCCTGCACGTCGTTCGGGAACACCGTGATATGGCCCTTGACGTGCCTCGGGTACCTCACGCTCTGCCTCTGGCCGCCGGGGATGCTATACTTCGTCACGAAGCCGTAGCACGAGTTGAGCGAGATGAGCTTCTCCTCGAGCGGCGTGAGGTCCTTTAGCTCGTCGGGGTACGCGTGCTCGCAGCCGAGCCGCCCATGGAGGTGCATGGCCGGCGACGCCCCCTCACGCCCGGCCCATCGCGCGCACTCTGCGCAGACCGCCACCGGCCTGCCCTCCGGGAAGCAGGCACCCGAACGGGGACCGCCCGCCCCGCAACACCGCTCCGCGACCACCCCTCCCATCTCCCACGCCATCTCCCTCAGCTCCCCCTTGGCCCGCTTCCGGTAGCATAGCGTGCAGGTCGCGATCGGCAGCGTGCCAGCGTCGTGGAACGCCCGGTAGAACTTCCGCACCGTCCTCACCTGCCTCTCGCGCGGCACCGGCGCACACCACGTCTGCTCGTTGGCCAGCCTCTCGCCCGCCTCGAACTCCTCGTCGAGGTGCCGCAGCGCGCTGGCTAGGTCCTCGGCCTGCAGCTCCCTTGGTCTCGGCACCCTTTCACCGACCCGGGCGCGTTTCCGCTCGGCCTGCCCACTACTAAGATGGCGTTTCCTCTTCTGCTCTTCCCTCGCCTGCCGTCTTATCGCCGATCTACCTGCGTCCGGTTAGCTATCACCGCTACACGCCTTTACCTCGCTCTACGACCGTACCTGCCGAGGCGCTATCTCTGCCGCCAACAAGCAGCCCGGCTGCGTCCGGTTGTGGCGGGGATCTCGGCCCTGCTGGCCGGCCGGGACTGGATGGCTCGCGGCGAGTGCTGGCTTCCGATCGAGACTACGGCCGAGCTAGTCCCGCTTGACGGCGGCGAAGGGCCGGCGGCCCCAAGTCGGTTGTGGCCGAATATCCCGCGGAACGTCCGAACTTCTCGTCGGCGGCGGCGAAGGCCCGGCGGCCTCCACCGTCGGCAGAGGCCGGATTTCCCTCGGTGCGCGCTGGCTTTTCCCTGAGGCCGAGACGGCGCTAGGCCCGCCTTGCGGCAGCCGGCGCCCTGCCGCCGTCGGTGTCGACAGAGCCTGGATATCCCGCGGCGCGTCCGAACTTCTCGTCGGCGGCGAAGGGCCGGCGGCCCTCCATGTCGGCTGTGGCCGAATGTCCCGCGGAACGTCCGAACTTCTCGTCGGCGGCGGCGGGACCGGCGGCCTCTACTGTCGGCAGAGGCCGGATTTCTCTTGGTGCGCGCTGGCTTTTCCTGAGGCCGAGACGGCGCTGGGCACGCCTTGCGGCAGCCAGTGCCCTGCCGCCCTCGGTGTCGGCGGCAGCCAAGTTGCCGCCGCGCTTGGTGTCGGCCGAGGCTGGATATCCCGCGGCATGACTCGGCCTGCGCTGATCCTCCATCTCCCTAGTCCTGGCGGTCTTCCCCGCCCTCGCCTCGGAGGCGCCTCCTTGACGCCTCTTCTTGCTCTCCGAGGGCGCCGCTAGCAAGTGCCGGCGCTGCTGTGGTCGGCTGGAACTCTGGTCCTGTGTACGGCGCTGCGCAGGCTTCTGGCGCCGGGCTTGCCCCGTCCCCCGCTCCGGACTGGTCCCTTCCGTTGGCTGGCTTCATTGCGACACCGGTCTACCAAAGCCCCACGGACGTCTTGTCTTCCTCTTTGCACCTGCCCTCTTTGGCCCTGCCTACTTATGGTGCCACTAGCCCTGGCGTAAATCCTCGTAAGTGTAATAACAGCGTATAAATCCTTGCCTCGATTATTCGCCCTGCACTTATCTTGCTGACTGGCACCCCTCTTGCGCATATAGGATCCTCTAAAAAGTCTATATATCTTACTCGTAGCTCTCTACTATGTCTATATGCGTGCTGCTGCTCTTTGCATTATACCGGCGCCGCCTTTCTATTAAGCCCGCCCGCCATTGCCTGCTGCTATATGCGATAGGCTAGACGGCCTCGGCCGATCCTTATATGTACGTCGCCGCGACGGCTTCTTCTTGCCTATGCTTTGCATGCTACGCTTTTCCTTCTTGTCATCCAGCTCTTATCAGTCAAAGCTTCCGTATGCCCCTAGACACTTGCCCGCTGAAGTTTAAAACCATGTCTTACACGTGTTGCGAATAGGGCTGCCTGCTTCTCCTCGAATATAGCTTCGCGCGTCCTGCTTGTCTTAAAACTCTCAACATCTTACTAGACCGCCTTTTAAAGTTCTCCTTTTCTTATTGCACTCTCCTCTATACGCATCTTATAACCCTCTTTTACAAAGGCTCCTTATATAACCTACCACTAACGCCATGTTGCGTCTTTGTTTAGAATCCTTTGACTTCTCTTACACACCATCGCCACTGGCCCTTCTCTTTACACTAAACTTCCCACCCGGCCCTTGCCGATACGCCCATGAAGAGGGCGCGCTTGCTGCAGCAGCAGAATTCGCCGCCTTCCTCGTCTTCGGACACCGTCAGCTCCGCCGCCCTCCTCCTCTCCCCGCCGGCCGCTTCTTCGTCTCGACCGAGCGGCGTCCCGCCCGTTCCCGCTCCGGCAGCCAAGCCGGGTTCCCCTCTTGACTCTATTGTCGCGAGCACCTCCGACCCGCCCGCTCGACCTATCCGCTATCGCATGCAGAAATGAGCTGCCTACTATAAACCTATCGCTCTCTTACGCCTCTTGCCTTTACTAAAATAAACCGTTCTCCCTCTCGAGATGCTATTCCTAACGAAACTTATCGCTGCAAAATTACCATTACTCTACACATTACAACGTTTATCTCTTTTTAACCTCCTCGCCCCCGCCATCTCTCCACAAACCCGGCAGACCTTCCCCTCTGTGCTCTGCGCATCCTGCCCTTGCATTTGCGTCGCGCCCTTGTTTCCGCCCGCCTGCCCCGCCTCTGCCATCTTGTCCTGCATTTCCTGCCTCGTCCTAATTTCGCATCCTTCTTTGCCGCAGAACGACGACACGACCACGAGCACAAACGGCCTCTCTGCGTGTAGGTACGATATCGGGCTCTGTAGAATCTCCTTTGCGAGTCCGCCGCAGCTCTCGCAGCGCACCCCTGCTGCCTTCCGACACGCTGCCTCGTGCTCCCGTAGGATCGGCCTTATCCACTGTAGGAACAGTGCACTGGCTGCGTGGTTCGGCCTCGCCTGGCTACCTGCGTCACGAGCGTCTTCGGGATGCTATGCTTGTACTTCAGCTCCGTGGCCCCGAATTCGCACCAGAACTCCACGGAAACGTTGCAAGTGGCCATGCTGTAGTTGTTTTCCTAACTGCTCGATCGGTAGCTAGGGTAGACGCTTCTGCTCTTGTTCTCCTATTCGTGCCTTGGCGCCCTCTTATGCTCCCTTCCTCTCGCTTACCCCGCAATCGTCATCACCGCTTTACTTGCCTTCTTGCTTTTTCTGCCTCTTCCCCGCGGCGGGATGGTGCCCGAATGGCCGCTTTCTTTACCTACCTTTTTTGCATGTTTTAGTTCCTAGCGCTACCGCCTGCTTGCGTTCTTTCTCTCACCCTGTCTTTGTCTTGTTTGTCTCTCCAATCTTCGGCCTTCGTTCCTCAAGGCTCTTTGCGCAACCCATGAAGGGTTGCCTTACCTGTGTCCTTCCTTGTTGATGTCCCCCATGCCTTGAGGAACGAGAAGCTCTTCTGGACGCGAAAAAAAAACCCAAAACTTCAAAACTCATTCACCCTCGAAAACCTCGGCTTCTAATTGGCCCAAGATTTCCTTCTTTCGTCTTAGCCCCTCCTTGCAAGCTTCCTTCTTTTATTGGTTGTTTGGTTGTGTTGCTTTAGCACTTTGGCCGAGGTCCGAACCGCGACCTCTCCCGCATCCCTACTTAATACGAGCACGATGCTGTCGAGCGTCCGGCATCACCATGGCTGCACATATATGCCCCTGGAGCTTAAAGAGTCGACGTCTAGCCATCCCGAGGCCTCGCGAACAGTCTTGTCGCTCAGCTCACCCGGTCTCGCTTGTGCGGCGGTCATCTCCTCTGGAACTCTATTGCCCACCAAATCTCTATCCCGCACTTTAGAGACGAGCATGATGCCATCCAACGTCGGGCAGCGGGACAGCTGCACGTACAGGCTGTACGGGTCGCACTGCGAGGATACGGCGCGTCCATCGATGTTTGACGTCCGCGTCCCCCGCAGCTCCAGAGCTACACGCTCGAGCGTCCTGCCCTGCACTTTATAGTCTGTGCACGCGAAGGCCGCCGTACAGGGCAGACCCTTTCGGCTGACGTCGTTCTGCTGCCACGGCCTCTTTCGCTGGCATTGTATCTTGACGGTCATGGGCGTCAACAAGATCGTTCCTGGCGGCATCCCGACGGAGTGAATGTCTTTCGTTGTCTCGGACTCCAGCATTATCCCCGCCGGCGGCCCGAAATGGACCGTCATGTCTGCCGAGATGCGATGCCCCGGGTACGACTTGTCGAGGATAACCTCCAGCGCCGTGTAGCTGGCACCGTTCACCAGCTTTAGCCCCTGATGGGTGTTGTGGTTCACGACGACCGGCATCCCCGGCACGAACATGAAGACGGCCGGCACCGGTATTGCGCTATCGTCGCCCTGGTTCAGCATCATGATGGCCTCCTCCTCCGTCGGCAAGCCCTCCTTCCATTTATGGCCGGATATGAAGATGCGCAGCGTCGACCGGTGCTGGATCTGGAACGCCAAGCTGGCCTCCATGTTGAGGTTCCACCGGTTCCTATTCAGCGGCGTCACCACAGTGATGCCTGATGCCCACGGGATCCGCCTACCTTCCTGGTAGCATCTTGAGTTGAGGAGGTCCAGATCCGTGCGGTCCTGCGCGCCCAGTCGGATTCGCTTTAACAGCCTCTGCAGCTCTGGGTCGCCAGCGGCGCGCACTTGCTCGTCGAGCATGACGACGGTCGTGAACCTCTTCCACAGCGCGTGCGCCTTGTCGTGCTGGTGCCGTTGCTCGGCCTTGAAAGAGTTGTCCATGTCCCACGAGACGGCCGTGCTGGGAGGAGGATCGACCGCTCTTGGACCGGGCGGAACTGGTGGAAGTCTCCGCAGAAGAGGACAATGGGGATCCTCCAAAATCCTGGTGCGACCCGCGCAGCCGGCAGAGCTGCTCGTTGACCGCGTGGAGCGTCCGCGCACCGAGCATGCTAACCTCGTCGACGACAAGCACGTCCTTCTCCTGCCAGTCCATCCGGGATTGCCCGTGGACGAACCGCTCCGCCTGGTTCGGCATTCGCAACCCGTCGAGATCCTGGCCATATTTGCGACTGCCGCGAGATCTTTGGAGAACCCGCAGGCGGGTGGATCGTGATGCCATTGATCCGTGCTGCTGCCGTCCCTGACGTCGCCGTTATTATCAGGCGATTCGATTGATCCTTGGACGCGAAGAGTTCGACGAGCGCCTCGATGACTCGCGACTTGCCCGTTCCGCCCTCTCCGCCGACGAATTGGCATAGCTGACACCCGTTGCCTTTCTCCCTGCGCCGTATGAGGTCAAGCTGACGGCATATGATTAGGAAGGCAATCGCCTGCTTCTTGTTCAGCGTGAACCTCGCTACCAGGGCCTTACCCGCCTCGATAAAGGAGGTTGAGGCGCCGAGCCGGATCTCCATTCCCGCGCTGGCCTCTACCGTTTCCTCGAGGTCCGCCGCCGTCATCAGGATATCGTCATCCCCAAAACCCGTGAGCACGCTGCGCACCGCCGCCCGAATCGTTGGCCGTGTTTATTATAAAAGGCCTAGCAAATTCTTTGTACTGATATGAGCTTACCTGTTTATTTCCAAGATATATTCCTCGATAGTATTTATTCTCGCTCTCTGAGTATCTTGTTCTCTCCCACGATGCTCTTCCTGTGAAAGGCCTCTAGTGAGTTGATACAACTAACTAGTCCCTATGCTGTTTACTGTCAAGATAGAAAAGAAAGAAAGAAAGAAAGAGAATCTACTACATAAGAGCATAACGGCATTTTATAGCTTCGAGCCAATGAAGGTTCTAGAAGCTAGGCGGCGCAGCCGCCGTTAAAGCGGCTTGCCCGTTACATTACCTCCCTCCCGTCCAACGTTTCCTCTTCCTTGGGATCGTGGCAATCTGTGTCAAGATGACTTGAGAAGGTGACACTCTTTTTATGTTTCTTCCATTGCTTCCATGCATCAGTGTGTCGAATAGTGGGAAGGGGCTCCCACGTAGGCTGCGAGTAATCATGCCATTTTACGAGCACCTTCTTATGCGTACCTTCCATTCTTTCATCCAGAATCCTTTCGACGAGGTACATTTCTTGGCCGTCCACCAGCACCGGCTGGGCACTCTCTTGATCGATTTTCTGCGAAGGCAATGGGTCTCCGGGTACTGGCCGGAGTAGATCGACGTGAAAGACTGGATGGATACGTCCAGGCACATCCAACCTATAGTCATGTGGGCTGACTTCGGCGAGCACTTGATATTTGGCATGTAACCAATCGAGCTTCTTGCAGGGTCGCGATGTTTTGACATTTCTCAAGTTGAGGTATACCCAATCCCCAGGCTTGTATCTCGGTGCGGCTGTCCTGTGCTTGTTGGCTTGCGCTTGCTGTATTTCCTGGGCCATAGCTATCGCTGCTTGCGCAAACTCCGTGGCATCCTGTAGTCTCTGAATAAAATTCTCCGCTGCAGCTTCTTCCTGTGTTGTGTCTTCCGTGCTTCGATGCTCAACTAACTGGATTGGCTCATTGTGGTAGCCGTGCATGAAGAAGAACGGACTCAGTCCGGTGGAGGTTGCTTCCCGCTCGTTAATTGTCGCCATCGCGACTGGAAGCAAGTCCAACCAGTTCTCCTGCAGATAGTTTGTCCATATCCGAAGAATCCTCTCTACCTCTTGGTTCATTCGTTCTGTTGCACCGTCGGTTTGTGGATGGTACTGTGATGGGTTCTAATAGTGTAAATTACAGCTATGTAGTCCTCGTGCGTTTTACATTCGAGCTGAGGAAAGAAGAAGGAAAGGAAAATAGAAGGACAGAAATCCTCCAACAAAATAGACTAAGCCGTTACTGGAGCAACAGTGCTTAGACCGACAAGGCACTGCCTTGTCCAGCAGGGCCTAGCCCGTTACAGGTACGCCGTTGACAACCGCTGCTCGATCCCTAGCAGCTGACAGAAGTGTTTCCACATACCACTGACAAACTGGGGACCCCGATCACTGGTAATAGCCGTTGGGATGCCATGGACAGGGTAGTGTCGTTCGAAGAGTCTTCTTGCAACCGCTTCTGAAGAAATATCGTGTAATCCTTCGAGTTCGACGCCTTTGGTGAGTCGGTCCGTGACCACCATGCAGTTCGTCGCGCCATCTTTCCCCGACGGTGGGAGGTCAGTAATAAAGTCAATGGTAATTTCGCTCCATATGCGTTGCGGAATAGGAGCGGCTTTAGGAGTCCTTTCTTTGTATCCCTCCAGATGGTGTTTCGTCCGCAAACCTCGCAGTTGCGCACAAACCGACGTACATCGCTAGCGGCACCCGGCCAGAAGAAGCGTCTCGACAGAGTCGAGTACGTGAGGTCCCTTCCAGGATGTCCGGTGATATGAGAGTCGTGAGTTTCCTGGATGATCTTCGTACGTAGCGGCTCCGAACCGGGTATCCAGACGCGTTCTCTAAAGCACAGCAGGCCCCTATTGTCTAACGAGCATTCTGAAATGCTGACAACCTTCTCCTTCTGTAATCCTGTTGGCAAACTCTTCGCTCCATCTGCTACCAGCTTCGTGAGTTCTTGATAGAGCTTGTCTTCTTGGCGTGCGGCGTGCCACAGCTGCTGTAACTCCTCATCTTCAAATATCCTGATCTCTTTTCCGAAGTTGATTTCCTGGGCACCCTCGGTGTTGGTAGACAATGTCGATATTGGGACCCTTCTAAGGTGGTCGTCTTGGAATAGCCTCATAATGCGTCCCTTTAGTCGTTCATCGGAGTAGTTGGCCGGCATATCCTGGTCCCGTCGAGAGAGCGCGTCAGGCAATCCGCCCTTGCGGCCCGGCCTCCATTCGAGCTTGAATTGGAACTTGGACAGGAACTCCGACCACCGCACTTGTCTCTCTGTCAACCTCCTTTCCGAGTAGAAGTATCTCAGGTTCTTGTGGTCCGTTAGGATCTTGAAGTGCTCTACTGCCCGTAGCTCTGGTTCCCACTGCTCCAAACATCTGAGAATGGCGAGTAGCTCCTTGTCATGGATAGCGTAGTTCGCTTCGGCTGCCGAATGTTTCTTCGAGAAGTATGCGACAGGTCGTACCAGTCCATCGTTATCATCTCTCTGCAGGAGCACGCCTCCCGACGCGAATCCTGAAGCGTCCGCTTCCACGATAGTCTCCCTTTCTGGATGGAAGTGTGCAAGGATCGGGGCCGTGATCAACAGGTCCTTGAGCCTCTCGAAGGCTTCTTCGCACAATCCATCCCAACGGAATGGCACGTCCTTCTTCGTTAGCCGCGTTAGCGGCTCCGCTATCACCGAGAACTCTGGCATAAACACCCTGTAGAAGTTCGCGAATCCGATAAAACTCCTCACGGATTTAATATTCGTCGGGGTTGCCCATCCCTTCACAGCCTCAACCTTCTCTGGGTCGACTCGGATCCCACACTCCGCCTCGATGATGAACCCAAGGTATTTCACAGCCTTGACTTCGAATTCGCTCTTGTTGATGTCTGTGAGGGAACGATCATGTGACTTTCATACTTTATGAAATGTCTCACTTTGATTCATGTAAATAGCGAAAGTCAGAGTCTTCCTTAGGAACCTCCTTCTCTCTTCGTAGACAATCACTTTACCCAAGTCGCACCCGACCTTGTTCGTGCACTTGTACCGTCACAATGTCCAGTTGCAGCCCAGCGTCCATCAGTCGTTGGAGGACCTTGCCGACTTTGTCGCGGTGGTCTTGCAGGCTTCCAGAGGAGAAGATCAGGACATCGTCGATATACGCTGACACAAAATCATCGAGGTAATCCTGGAGCACGCTGTTAATATACCGCTGAAAGGCTGCTGGTGCGCCTGTCAGGCCGAATGGAACTATCAGCCATTCGAAGGATCCATAGCGCGTTCTGAAGGCTGTCTTTTCTTCGTCGCCAGGGGCGACCCTGATCTTATGGAACGCTGCTATAACATCTACCTTGGTGAACCACCTTGCCTTGGCTATCGTTCGCAAGGTCTCGCTCAGTAAAGGCAAGGGATAGCGGTCCCTCTTCGTTATGTGATTCAAACCTCTGTAATCCACGCAGAAGCGGATGCCTCCGCCGGGCTTCTTCACCATAAGGACTGGTGCTGCGGCTGGCGAACTGCTGACTCTAATAAATCCCTTGTCGAGTAGTTCTGTGAGGGTCTTTCGTAGCACCAATAGCTCCTCGCGGGACATGCTGTAAAGCGGTCCCCAGGGTAGGGGCTTCTCTCGGCCATGCTCGTCTTTCAGCACTTCGATCTTCAGGTCCACACCTGGCCGATGAGGGGGCAGCTGGTCGGCCAGTTGCTGAGAGAAAGCTCGAGACCACTTGTGGTACTGTGGTGGCAGCTTCTCCATTACGTCAGTCTTCGGTTTCGGTCTTAGGGCCTTGTCAATATCCGCCATTGTGACCGAGTGAACTCCAATGCCGCCTTTGCGTTTGTCACGGCGTGCTTCTGCTAAAAAGGTTGCGGCCATGACATTAGAGACGTCTAGCTGAGGAGGCTGGTAACGTCGTCGGTCTCGTACTTGGACTCCATTGGACCCGATCTCGAGATATCCTTCCTTCGCATGGATGTGAACATCCTGGTCTTCCATCCATCGTTTACCCAGGATCATATCCCAGTTCAGATCGTCGATGACGTACATGAAAACACGATGCTGCTGATGTCCATCGAGGTCGATCGACACATACGTGATCTTGTCGATTTTGACCTCCTTGCCGTCTCCGCTGCATTCTCCAAGATGCGCGGCTGGACGCGTATATGTGGCAACTGGAGAGAGTGAAATGTGCGCTTGCTAACCGCGCCGTAGCAGAGGCAGCCATAGTCGACAAGAGATGGCACAAAGTCTGTGCCGTTCACCCTGACGTCTGCTATGAACGGTTCTCCGTCCATTTTTGCTTTTCCGCTCACATCCCATTCTCTCACAGCCGCCGCGTGTCCCTAGTCTGAATCTTCATCGCTATGAGAAGAAGCATCGTCTTCGGCGATCTCGGCTTTAGTGACCGCTGGTCGTGAAGGGGTCACGGCATTGACCTGAGTGCGTCGGGTCGTGTTTGCGGGTCGGATAGGCGCAGCCAATGGACAGCGCTCGATTCTGCAGTTGTCTCTTCCACAACGGAGGCAACGCCCTTCACGGTAACGGGCGTCCATCTCGGCCTGGTCGACCCACTGGGCACGCTTGCCCAACAGCGCTTGGTCTTCTGGTCGCTTGGATTGGTAGCCATATGTGTTCTTATCACTGCGGGTGCGCGCAGCGTTCACTTTCGCGGATGCTTGTAGAGTTGGCTCCCATTCCATCATATCCTCTCGTCTAACTTCGGTTTTCTGGGCAGACTGTTTCTGGGCAGACTGGCCTCCATGGTTCTGGTAGTTGTCATAGTTGTCCGAACTCTTTGTGTTGCCTCGGGGCCTTTTCCACTGACCCAACAGTTCCATCTGGCTGCTCAGCGAATCGCACCTCCTCGCCAGCCCAACATAGCTGCTGATGGCAGAGGGGTCAGAGCCTATGAGGGCTGCTTTCATTTTGTCGTTTAGTGCCTCCTGGAGGTAGGAAATCTTGCTGTCGTCTGGCCAATACTCGGCGTTGGCATTGGCGATCTCCCTCTCAAAGCGGGGGTAAAGGACGTGAATGGTTCATTCTCTCCTTGCTTAATCGAATGCAGATTGCGTGTAGCTCTCTGCTTGCGATCCCTCTCCCGTACAGCAATTCGAGACGGTTGAGTAGTTCAGCAACATTGAACGTTCTCTTCTCGGTTTGCATCTCCACAAATGTGGTCACGTTGTCTTTAGCCTTGCCTTCTAGGCTCATGAAGATGTACATAAAGTGGCCTTCTGCATCTCCAAGGGCTTCTTTATCGACTCGTAGCTTTCCTTCGGTTTCTAGTTTCCAGCTTCGCCACTGGGCCTTGTCGCCGCCGAATTTAGGGATGTATCGCACGGAGGATGAGCTGAGCAAGCATGAAGATCGGGGACTGAACAACTCTTGATTCTCTATCTAAGTGATGGTAAGAAGTTGGCTTCTTATACTTGTGACGTTGGGTTGAGTGGCGATGTCGCCACCCAGGCAGCCTAGATGACGATGTCGTCTAGAAGGTTCGAATCCATCACTAATATGGCATTACAAACTGCCACGACCTAAAATATAGGCTAACTGTGCGAATAGGGGAATCAGACTGTTGGAGGCTGATATACTCTGTGTGACATACCCCCCCAGGTTGTGCTGGCTGGTGGGCAGTGCAAACTGAAGAACCTATACCTCTAGAAGTGAAGAGATATCAATGAGGCCAAGTTGTTTGACGAAGTGAGTGAATTTTTGGCCTGGCAGAACCTTCGTAAGGCCGTCTGCAAGCATTTGCGAAGTGGGTGTATAAACAAGGTCGTAGTAGCCCTGCTCGTATGACTGCCTTGCCCAACAGGAGTGGATGTCAACGTGACGAAGGGCTGTGCGAAGGCGAGGGATATCTTGTGTGACAAGACGAATTGTCTGAAGGTTATCACACTGGATTGTAGGTTTCCCGTCAAGCTTAAGAAAGCTGCTGAAAGAGACGGAAAGTGGCAATGGTTTCCTTAGCTGTGTGCGTAAGGGCGAGAAGCTCAGCTTCTGTAGACGAAGTAGTGACTGTGTCCTGTTTTCCGGCTTTCCAGGCGATAGGGCCACCGAAGAGGGTAAGGATTGAACCCTGTGATGATTTGCGAGTGTCTTTATCATCAGCAAAAGCGGCGTCGGATGCGCTTTGGAAGTCGCTGTAATGATGTGCTTGGAGCGGAGTGACGAGGTCTCCATTGAGGCTAGAGCAGCCTGAAAACTGAATTGCGAGGTGCCTAGTGGCGTGTAGGTACTCGATCAGGTGATCCGCGAGCTTTTGGTGTTGCTCGGAAGGGTTGTTGAGAGATTCAGCTAATTTTGATGCCGGTTTGGCTATGTCCATGCGCGTGATGCAGGCGGCATAGTTTAGCGATCCAACTTTGCTCTGGTATAACTGAATTTGGTCTAGGGAAGCCTGCCCTTTGTGCGGCTGGACTTCGTTGCAAGGGAAAGGGGATCCCTTAAAGTGGTCTAGTCTGTTGAGACTGAAGCGTTGAACCATGCGTTCAATGTAGGAATCTTGGCAGAGCCATAGCTTCCTATTAGGTCGGTCGCGAAGGACACGGATACCTAGAAACCACTGCAATTCCCCTTGATCAGTCATAGCGTATTTCCTCTTGAGGGCTGCAACCATATGATCAGCTGCATCCTCGTTATCCTTGCGATAGAGGAAGACGATATCGTCAACGAAGAAGAAGACTGTGAGCCAGTCGTTCTGGAAAATGCAGGGCTCGTCAGGACACTGCGAAAGGCCGAGCTCTTTGAATGCTGCAGTAAGCTCTTTCTGCCAAAGTAGAGGAACGCCGTAAGCCGTAGAGTGCCCGGAGTAGGCGTAAGACCCAGCCTTGTCTATAGTATCCGTCTGGGAATAACACATAGATCTCCTCATCATCGTCTAAGAGGGCGTTGGCAAAGGCGTTGACTGCATCGAGCTGTCGGGATTCGAGGTCAAATTTGGCTGTGATGGCCATAAGAACGCGGAATGATTTTCCGGCAAGGGTGGCAGCGTAGGTGTCTTTGTCACCCAGCTTTTGAAGGTCTCCCCGTACGCATAAGCGGGCTTTGAACTTGATAAGGAAGCCATGCTTGTCAAATTTGTACTTGAACACCCAGGTCAGGGGGCAACGGCCTGCCTGTTGCTTGGTCTCGCGGAACAGCCTCGAAGGTTCCTCTCTTTTTGGAGGGATTTCCATTCAGCGTGGGCTGCTTCCTTGAATTGAGGGCCAAAGCGGTGTGTACTCAGTTCCTTGTACGATGTGGGTTCTGGCGGGAGAGATCGAGAATGAAGCTTTTCCTCTCGTCCGAGAAAGAAGGAGCTGTGAAAGTGGTTTTGGGAACTAGCAAAGCTGCCGAAGTTCCGTGGCTTGGGCGGACGTGATGAACGTCGAAGTTGCTGATCGCTCTGAGCGGGATCAGGTGTCGGGTACGGGTTATCCGCATCGTGAAACTCATCCTGGTCTTCTGAATTTTCGTGTTCAGAGTGTTCCAGTTGAACCTGGATGGTGCTGGTGTCTTCTTGACCCGATGTAGTCGAAGAAGGGGTGTCCGGTTGAGGATCATGCTCTTCCATACGAGTGGGAATTTCCTCGTATTCCGATTCGTCTTCGATGTGTGCTGGAAGCTGTACTTCCAAGCATTGAGGGATAGGCTTCTGTGGCTCTACCTTTCCTTCGTAGAACTCGTGTTCGTTAAAGGTCACATCTCGAACTCGTCGGACTTCGGATGACGAAGGGATCCAAATCCTGAAAATGTTAGTGGAGTCGTATCCCACTAGATAACCGATTTCCGTGTGAGGGTCGGTCTTGAGGTCCTTTTTCTGTTTGTTCTGAAGGGCCTGGGTCGTCAAAGGGTAGGCTCGGCAGCCGTACGCTTTGAGAAAAGTGATGTCAGGCTGGAGCTGTTGATAGCCTGTGTCGCGGTTGTTGTTTTGCAGCCATTGGTTAAGCAGCTGGAAAGGAGTCTGGAAGTTCCGGTTCTGCAAGGGCGATCTGTTATGCAGGAACACAGCGGCTGTCCATGTCTCAGGCCAAAGATCAGATGGAAGATTGGCGTCAATCCTCATCGTTCTTGCCTGGGTAGCTATTACCCCCCCAGATCGTTCTGCAGGACCATTCTGAGCGGGAGTGTAAGGGGCAGTTGGCTCATCGGTGATCCCCTTGTCACTGATCCACGCCTCGTAGTCTGACTGAAGAGCACGATCATTGTCTCGGTGGATAACACAAATCTGTAGGTTCCATTGGCGTTGTATCATCGCCTCAAGGTTCCTAAGAGCGGTCATGACGGAGTCTTGCGTCGCGTCATTGAGAGTGTAGATGAACAACATGCAGGTAAATTCATCCTTTGCAAGAAGAACAGCTTCTTTGCCGTTAAAAGACGTGTTCATAGAGAAGATATCGATGTAAATTCTCCAGAAAGGTCGAGGTGCTTTGTTTTGAGAAGGTCGGCGTGAAACAACCTTCTTTCCCTTTGCAAGGGAACAGGCCTCGCAGTCAACGGTAACTGGGCCTTTTATCTTTGATCCTGTTGTGTTCGCAACAAGATGTTCGAGAGCTTGAGCGTTGAGGTGCCCAAGACGCTTATGCCAAAGTGTGGCGTCAGCAGTTTGTATCGGTCGTTGAGCCGACGAAGAAGTGAAGTTAGAGGCGTGAGAATCCTCCTGAATCGGGTTATACTCGATAACCGGTTGACGGAATAGTCGTCGAGTGTGAAATGCCATCTGATCGTCTTTATAGACGAGTCCAGACGTTGGGTTCCAGTTGTATCCCTTTGCTAGAAAGCGGTCAAGAGATGCAATGTTGGTGTGAAAGTTTGGCACGAAGGCGACTTCGTTGAGTTGGAAGAGCCCGTCTTCCAGCCTCATACGGACTGTGCCGTAGCCAAGGATTTGAAGTTGACTATCGCCTGAGAAGAGCTCTTCGGGCTCTTCTAGAGCAGAGTAGTTAAGAAAGCGGGATCGATCGTTGCAGATATGCGTGTCGGATCCAGAGTCGAGGATGAAGGAGTCACGCAGAGGGTACACTCCCTTTCCTAAAGAAAAGCTGGCAGTTCTAGGTACGCTTTGGGCGTCCTCTAGGAGCTGCAAAGATGGTGCTTCTGAAGTTGGTCTTCGTTGCACAGGCGACACAGCCGTACGCTCCTGGGATCGGCCCCGAGAAGGTCCTCTGTGTGAAAAGTACCGTTGGCCGGCGAAAGCTGCTCCTTTGACGGATGCAGATGTGTCAGAGCCATCAGGGGTGTCTGATTTCTCCTTTTGCTTGCTACTTTGGATAGCATTGATTTTTGTTTTTAGTCCAGGATTTGAGTCAAGAATCTTCTTTATTTTCCGTTCAACCTTCTGATTAGGTGTCCACCCATCAGGCCGAATTGACTCAATGAGGTAGTAGCATCGTGGGAAGTAGTGGTAACTTCCACAGACGCATGACGGAATTCCTTCAGAATTCTTTGTTGGCCTCCAGGTGGTGTTGTCCTGGGACTCTTGTTTCTTTTCTTCCTTGCCTTGGAAAGAGGCTCCAAAAGATCCCTTGTGGCTGTTGGTAGCAACCTTGATGCGGTGGGCGCGTTCGAAGATCTCGCTGATCTTGATGCCGTCAGGGAATTCTGCTTGCCATCCTGGCTTTCCTAAGGCGGCTTCGTCTTCCATCTTATTGACCCAGTAGTCGGTGAAAGAAGGGTTGATAGACGAAACAGCTTGGAGGAAGTCTTGAGTAGGGCGTTGGTCCTGGGTGTCAGGTAACCCTAGTTGTCTTGCCTCAGTAAGGACTTTTTGCCATTGAGTGACCCAAGTATCGATCTTGGTCCTATTAGGCGAAGAAAGTGTTGAACGATAACGTTGAAGAACTTCCCGTTCGAGTGCCCAGTCTGTAGGCGCGACTCGAGACTGTAGGAGTGATAGTTGCTTCGCAACGTCATGTTCTTCGGCGATGGTACTGTAGTAGTTGCCGATAGTCTTGACAATGTGTTGTTGAAGGCTGGCGAGGGCCTTCACTTGATCTCTGTAACCCTGTAGCTTTGTGCGGTACTGGGTATGAAGGAATTCGAGGCGTCGGAATTCCTCTGATGAAAGGTCGATTAGATCAGATGCTGTGGCATTGATCTGATGAAAAGTCGGTTCAGCTGGTTGCTGAAGGACCGGTTTGACCCCTTTTGCGGTAGGGTCAATGAATTCCCAAAGACTGTGGGAAGAGGAGAATTTCTTGATGATAGAAATCCATTGCTTCCAGTCACAAGGGCCGTTGAGGACGGTGCCCTTGGAAGAGCTGTCGATTTCATTTGTCAAACTCATTGTGGAAGCTATTCGTGATTGCAGCGGAAGGAACCAGAATAAGATACCCAGTCAGTGGCAGACCGGGCTCATAACTATCGCACGGAGGATGAGCTGAGCAAGCATGAAGATCGGGGACTGAACAACTCTTGATTCTCTATCTAAGTGATGGTAAGAAGTTGGCTTCTTATACTTGTGACGTTGGGTTGAGTGGCGATGTCGCCACCCAGGCAGCCTAGATGACGATGTCGTCTAGAAGGTTCGAATCCATCACTAATATGGCATTACAAACTGCCACGACCTAAAATATAGGCTAACTGTGCGAATAGGGGAATCAGACTGTTGGAGGCTGATATACTCTGTGTGACAGGATGTCTCGTAATTTGGGGCGCTTGGTTGGGTGAGGGTTGTGATTGGCGCCCACATGGGTGTCCTCGATGGGGACAGCCGGGGTGACAGATGGCATTGGCTCTAGGAGTTCAGACGAACGGGCTTGCTGGTGTTGTTGGAGTTCCAGGGCAATAAAACGTTCTTCAAACAGGGTATTTCTTCGGGAATTCTCTTCTCTCAGACTTCGTATCTCGGCAACCAGGGCGCTGAGGACGTCCGGCTGCATGTTGTTGTTATCTTCGGCCATCGCGACTTCGCTGAATGCTAATGGCTCCGATGGGACTCGGTTACTTTGGTGTCTTCAGTGTCTTCAGTGTCTTCAGTGTCTTCGGTGATCTTGATAGTATGTGAAAGGCCTCTAGTGAGTTGATACAACTAACTAGTCCCTATGCTGTTTACTATCAAGATAGAAAAGAAAGAAAGAAAGAAAGAGAATCTACTACATAAGAGCATAACGGCATTTTATAGCTTCGAGCCAATGGAAGGTTCTAGAAGCTAGGCGGCGCAGCCGCCGTTAAAGCGGCTTGCCCGTTACACTTCCATCTTAAAGGCTTCTTCTTTGTCCTACTCTTAGAGCAAGCCTCTGCGCTTGGACATGATGTCCTCAACGGCAGTAAGTTACCTTTGGTGGCGAAACTGCGTAAATTAACCGCCATCTTAGATATGTACGGCGGCGATGGAAATGTTGTTCCCAGCAGCCACCCTATCTCTGAAGAGAACACTATTAGTTTTCAAGATCCAGTGACCCCGCCAATACACACCAAGAGAGGGGGAGGGGGAGGCCTCTTGGTCGGATCGAGGCTATTTTCCGGTTCAACTACTTGCACCACCTATGTATGTATGTATGTATGTGTATTTCACCCGGAGGATTTCTCCTATAATTAGGGCCTAGACGTAAAAGCTACTGACATTTCAATACATTAATGCGTAACACCTTAAGCCCCACGGGTCAGCATACGCTACACCAACCTCGCCGCTACTCGCTCCGTGACAGGCCTGCTTGAAGGCCAATTTCTCCAAGTGTTCAGCGTCCTACCTTCAGCAGCTGAAGCGCGGTCTGTCGAAATCGAAGTCGAATACCTGTGTGTTAGTATTGTTGAAGGTTAGTGCCATAATCGATCCTAAGTGGATTCTCACTTCCGCTGCTTAGCCCGAAGGGCCAGACGCTGCCTGCGTCTCATCCCCAGGGTTCCGCGCCCGACAGTTCCGGCTGTACGATTCGTGTGGTCCACCGCAGGGCACGCACTTTGGCACTGTCTCCTTGCATTCTCTGTGGTGATGTTCTGCTTTCGCGCATCTGCCACATCTTTGCGGCTTCTTGCATGAAAACGCCTTGTGTCCCATCTCTTGACAGTTGAAGCACTGAATCGGTCCTACGCGGCGTTCAAAAACATTGGTGCAGGCGGACTCTCCCGCAACATCGAACCACACGCCGTCCAGAAGTCTTTGCGCGTCACTCTCTTTAGTGACATAGATCACCATTGACCCGTACGCTTTGGCTTTCTCTCTGTTGCTAAGCCAGGTGATCTTGGCAATCGTGACGTAATTCTCGGCTCCGAGCGCCTCAGCTGCGCCCGGCAGAACGTTGCCTTCGGCGTCCAGCACTGCGGTACGCTTGGTGTTGTCGACTTTGACAGGGTAAAGCTGATCTCTCAGTACCCTGGCTCCCGAAGTTACCGTCTTCTGCGCTGTGCACCACCTATTCGGACTGTTCCTGGTGTTTCTTTTATCAGAGATGCTGCGTACGTAGCTACGGGAGTGGATCGTGCGAATGCGGCACAAGTGGGCGGGAAAACCAATGTCATTAATACAGACATGTTTTGCGAGTCCCGATCGGCAAGGACAGGCTGCGGCGCCGAAGACCGCCGAGCCTCGGGGGGTGTGATCAAAGACAAGGCGCGTGCAATCAGACTTGCAAACAGATAGATCAAATCCAGATATATTCAAATCAAATCAGATATATCCAAATCAGATCAAATCAAATCGCCTCTCAGGTTATTCAAATCAAATCAAATTGACCTGCAACATATTCAGATCAAATCAGATCGCAGAGGTCGGATTTATTTGGATATTTAGTTTAGTTTAGTTTAGTTTAGTGTATTTTCCGTCCAGCAACTTTTGGTCGCTCAGGTCTCCGCAGGGGAGCACAGGACGTGCTGAGCTAGCAGGTGTCTACATGCTACATATCGTACACTTCACCCACTATCCAGCATTTCAGCGGCTCAACGGCGCTCATGACAAACCTGTTGCCCGTCAGCGGGACGTCCAGGCATGAAGAGAAAGCTGTCCCGTGGTCAGATCAGCCAATTTGCTTCTGGGGCCTTGCAGCCCTTGATGACCTCGGCGATCGCATGGTCGCGAGACCTTGACGCCGCCGAGATCGGAGCAGGTAACAGAAAGGATTGAGAGGAAAAGGTAGGGTGAGAGAGGAGAATGATGACCGTCTAGTGGCGTGGGCAGATCCCTCCGAAGAAGGAGCTCGCTTTCGCCAGCCTGACGAATTTGTCAAAGTCCTTGCCGATTGCGCGGTTGATGGCTGCAGGCGGCGAAGGTGCAAGCCGCATACGATGCCGTGGCGCAACCTTTCTGCAGTAAAAGATGTGTGCTGGCTCTTTTCGTCTTCCGCACGAGCACGTCAGTCGCGCATTGTCGTGACCAAACCTTTCGTGGTAGTCAGCAAAATCCCCATCGTGGGTTCTTGCTGCAAGCAAGTTATGAAGCAGGGGCCGAGAGAGCGCCAATTCTGACGGACAGCTGGTTGTGGCTTTAAGCCTCAGGTCTCTGTATCGCTCCGGCGCAGAGGCTTCCCACCAGGCCTTGAAAGCCTCTTCCGGCTGCTGTCGGGCAATCTTTCGCAGGTGCGCTAGCGTCGGGACGTTATCAGCGGGTTCTGGCAGTGATGCTCCCGCCTTTGCCAGAGCATCAGCCTCCTCGTTGCCTGGGATGTCAGCATGGCCGGGGATCCAATGGACCTCCACAGCTCCGTATTTTCGCGCCAAAGATTGAAACTCAAGGAAGACCTCTTGCGAGGAGTCGCTCGGCGTGCCCCGTAAGCATGTTGCGGTCGCGAGGTTGTCGAGGCAGACAAAGATGCGGTCAGTTTCTGGAAGGCTCACCGCAGCCTTCAACCCCTCCAACGCACCTTTCGCCTCAGCGTCGAAAACCTCGGCGGGCCCAAGACGGCCCTTGTCGCGCAAGACGGTGGATCCGTCCCGATGAACAACATAGCCATATCCGGCGTGGCCTTCGGCAGAACGGGACCCGTCGGAATAGACGACCAGAGTTCGGGGCGATAGTGCCTGGAGCCAATCGCGAAATTTCTTCGCCGTCTCATTTTTCGATGCACTCTGCAGAGGCGCAGTCTGCTCTTCGACAAATCCGCGCTGCAGCAAGGCAGGCCTTGGGCAGCTTGGTAGCAATTCGTCGGAGCGCCGCAGCCTAGTCCGGAAGGGTTTTGGCTGCTTTTGGTACTTCAGCTTGATCATTTCATTCAGTATAGGGCTTTTGGCCTCGACGTGCGCTTCACGAGCGGATGAGCTTCGTCCAGGGTTTGAGACGCGCAGCAAATGCAGTCCGGCGCGCCTCGAGCAGCAGAGGGACCGGCGGTATCCCTGCCTCCCGGTGCAGAACATTCGTTGGTGTAGTTCTCCACACTGGCAGGATAGCCCGAAGAGATGTGTAGAGTGCCTTGCTCATCTTCTTTACGAGGTGTCCGATCCTGGACGGTCCTTCCTTGCCCGGCTTGGTCCAGCGCGGGCGCGTAGAACCAGGATACCAGACCTCCGCCGCGTAGAGCAGCACTGGAATGACGCAAGCGCAGACCGCTCGTCGCACAGCGCTCGGTAGAGGACCATGCCTGGTGTTTGTCAGTCTCCTGAGATGGAAGGCGACTGCTTGCGCTTTGGCCGTCCATTTCTCGACATGAGTCTTGAAAGACAGAGTGCTGTCGAGCCAGACGCCAAGCCAACGCATCGCCCGGCCCGGCCGTTTCTCAAATTCGCCATGGAGCACTGGCGGCGCCGTCTTGGGCGTCGTTCGAGAGAAGTGCATCACTTCTGTCTTCTCAGGGTCGAAGGAGATCCGTTGGCGGCGCCCCACGATACAAGCTCACGCACATGATGAGATGCTTCGGCGGACGTCTCATCCAGGCTATCGCCGACGCAAAGGATGGCAGTGTCGTCCGCATAGCCGAAACGCCCTTTTGAGCTGCCCAAGCGGTAGATTGGTTCCGTATACAGTAGGAAGAGGATCGGCGAGACTGGCGATCCCTGTGGCAGCCCGCACTGAGAGGCGATGAATTCGTTGCGATATCTTGATAGCGGATGCGTGCCGACCTGTCTTGCATAAACGAGCCGACCCATCGCGCGAGGTTCGGTGGCCACCCTTGCTCCCGTAGGCGAAGGATCAATCTGTTGCGGAGGACTGTGTCGAAGGCGCCCTGAATGTCCAAAGTCACCAATGTTGCAACCTGCTTGCAGGCAAATGCCTCCTCGATGTCATGAATCAAGGCAGCAACGAGATCCACGGCCGATCTCTTCGGGAGCGCGCCGGCTTGTTGTGGGTGTAGTACGCCGAAATGGACCGAGGCCCACGCTAGACGCCGTGCGATGAGCCGCTCGAGGCCCTTGCCGAGACAGGACAAAAGGAGATGGGGCGCCAAGCGCGGGGTGAGAGATCCCTGCGCCCCGGCTTGGCAATCATGACCACTTCTGCTTCTCGGAAGGGCTTCGGATGGTGGCCAATCCTGAGGCAGCCTTGATATAGCTGGTGGACGAGACTTCCGATCGCATGCCAGACAGCGCGGAGCATCCGCACCGTAATATTGTCGGGACCAGGGGACGTATTCCCGGTGCGTAGCGTGGCGTCGCGGGTCTCCTCCGGAGAGACTCGGTCGGTGAAGGGTATCGTCCTATCTGTGTTCACGGAGATCCACGGATCTGGGATGTCGTCGTTCGCCGTGCGCCGTTCCAGAGTGGCTTGACGCAAGGCGGTGGCCTTTTCCAGCTGCGTCTCATACACTCGGTCGTCAATTTGCAGGGGAGGAGCTTGAAACGGACCTGGAGACTTCAGCCAGCGGACCGCCCTGAAGACGGAGGCGCTATCGGTGAAGCTGTCAATCAAGTTACGCCAGTAAAGGCGCTTGGCCCGGCGCACCACGCTATGGAGCTCCCTCTTGGCTAGCTGTACTTCTCGGTCGAAGCCGAGAGAGTGAACTCTCCTCCACGCGCGGTAATTGGCCGCCGCCTTTGCGCATTCTTCAGTCCACCACCGCGCACCATGCGTAGTCTTACGGGCAGGTCGACCGGCAGCTCTGGCTGCACAACCAAGAAGGTTCACGAGCGCCGACGCAAAGCTGTCGAGCTCGGAAGGAGATGCCGTGGTGATCGGGATGAAGGCGGCACCGGCCTCCACTAATTCAATGAATCGCTTCAATTCCTCGTCGGAGTTGAGATGGATCTTTCCTATTGGAAGGGGTGCCAGAACTTGTCCTGGCAGCGTGATACTAAGGGTAAAATGATCGGAGCCGGTTGCTAGATGATCCTCGACAACAGCGTCGGCCAGAGGTATGTTGCAGAAGGCGAGATCAACCGTATTGCCGTGTGCGTTGGTCGGGACATCGACAGGATTCAGTAAGCCGAGTCGATTGTCCATTGCCCAAAACGCTATTTCTTCGCCGCGGTCCTCTCGTCGACCGGCCTGCCAGCTGGGATGTTTGGCATTGAAATCACCAGCAACAAGACACTTGTCCGGTACGGTCCACTGAAGCAAGATTTCAAGGGCTCCGTCGTGGTACGGCTGCCGATAGAAGTTGACGACTGTTATGCCGTTGACGGTGAGCCAAAGGATGTCACGAGTCGCCGCAGGTCTCTTTTGATCAGCGACGAGACCTGCGGAACGCCGGACGTATGTCATGACTCTCGGGCGAGTGTCGCGGCCGTCCCAGTCGTTGACGGGTGAGAAGGTGTCGTAGGCCTGATGCGTCTTAGTGAGGCATCGGCCGTCTTTCAGTTCTGTCCATGGCTCCTGCAACAAAATAATGTCGTATTGTTCCGAGTCGGCCAACGCAAGGGCACAATCGTGTGCCGGCGGAATCTTGCCTACGTTGGCTTGGAAGATTCGCAAGATCCTCCTATCGCTTCGATTGCGTGGAAAACAGCGAGGCATTAGGGCGTCACAGGACTAGTGCGTCGTTTCTTCGATGGGACGACAGGGAGGAACTGGTCGCCGTCCCTTACATGCGGCGGCGTTGTGGCCACAATGATGCATGGGGTTGACGGCGCGGCTGGCTCGTAAATGGCGCCCATGTCGGAGCTTCCATCTCCTCCAGCTGCCCGCGGCGCCGTTGACTCCAAGGAAAGTGTCTGCGGCCTGCCAGGGCTCTGATCAGACTGGTCGGACACTCTGGCCTTTGAGTTCGCCGCTTCTGCTGCGCAGAGAGCTGAACTCCCATCTGCCGTACCAGGCTCTTCTCCTCCTTCGTCAGGCGCCGGACCATGCCGTGAACGCGCTTGGGGCGGGCAGGGCATTTGGGGTCATCCGCGCAATGGGGTCCAAGGCAGTTTGCACACTGCTCGAGGGCGGTGCATTCTTGGCTACGATGGCCGGTTTTGCCACAACGCCTGCAGCGCGCCGTTCGATCGCAGCTGTGTCGAGCGTGGAAATCCCAGCACTTGTCACATTGGCTAGGAATGCTGGGCTTGTCGATATAGCGGGCGAACCGGCTGGCGCCGAACAGTCGCCAGGGTCTCTGCGTGGGTTCCAGGAAGGATACAATAAGGGTCTGGGTAGGCATATCGCCCGAGTCGTGTCGCGAGGTCCGTATGCTGATGGGCTTCAGTCCGGTTTGGCAGGCAATTTCTTCTTTGACCGCCTCATCGAAGTTGATCTCAACGCCGCGTAGGTCCGTGAGCCTACGGGGGCAATCGGCTACGACATACGAATGCCATTTCTGGCTAATCTCTACGGCCGTCGCGTCCAGATCTACGGCCCAATCCGCCTGTCGCTGCACGAGTAGTTCGCGCGTGGCCACATCCGATGCCAGGATGGCCCAACCCGTGTTTACCGGGAAGGCTGCCGGGATGCGGCGTAGGTCGATGCCGACTCTAGCGGCGATGTGGGCCCGGATAGCGTATCTTTCATGGTTTCGGGCCGGAGCATCGACGTCAAGTCGGACAAAGACACGCAGGTCTTCCTTGGGTGGGGCCACGGGCGGTCGTCCTTGAGACGAGTGGTGGTTTGCTGTTTTCGCTGTGGTGGGGCGGAGGCCGTAATGGCCAGCTGTCCTTGTGTCGTTTTGCCGGATGCGAGAACGCTGCTGTACGTAGGTTTCGGTGGTTCCTCAAGGTCGGCGAGCGATTGAGTCCAGAGGTTCAGAAACTTGGTGGCAACTTGCTTTGCGATGCTATTGTGGGAGCCGGACGTGAATTGTTTGGCTGTCTGTTCGAATGATTCGCTAAAGGCCCGAAAGACTGCCAGCTTGGCATCATGGGCTGCCGTTTGGTCGCGAGCGATCTTTGTAGCCGCTTCGATGATGGAGACAGGTGCATTTTCCGTGGACCCGGTCGAACCAGGGCCATTCGGGATTATTTCCGGCTGCGTTCCTTCCGCGACGGCAGCGTTGGGCGTGTCGCTGGGAGACGTCGGTCGAGGAGCTGCTGAGCCGCCAGGGTTGAGACATTTGGACGAGCCTCCGCCGGAGAGGACAGTAGGTGCTGAGATGCACGGGCTGCTAGATCAGGTGGCGATTGTATGTCGACAGCACAGGAGCGGCGCGCGAACCTGAGGCTGGTGCCATGGCCGCTGCCGGCGCTTTCGCGCGGCGCTGTTGCGGAATTTTCAAGAGCACTGTTAAGCGAAAAGCTGTATGGATAGGCTACTTCCTTAACACTTGCGTGCCAAGAAAGTAAAAATGCAGGGAAGGATGGCTGGTGCCCGTCAGCGGGATTTTCAGGCGCGCTCTAGGGTAGCCCCGCCAAGTGCGATCTACCGGAAACAACTATGTCCTTACCTTCGGGTAGAGCATGAAGACACATGGGCTGTATTGTTTCAAGTGGGTTTGCTACTCATCGTACTCTCGTACTCGAGTATCCCTGAAATTTATTCGCGGCTTGCCACTGGTGGGAATCCATCGCAGCCGCGTGCCTGGAGAAGTTGCCCAAATTTTGAATCCGTGCCGCCGACTTCCCAAAGGGGACGCCGCCAGCATCCTAATTGGCCCGCGCCTCGAGCCCCACCCCTGCCTCGGCTGCTGCTCCTGCGAGCTTCGCCTTGGCGCCCCGCTTTCGTCCTGCTTCTGTCGATTCGGCATCGGCGTCCGGTATATCGTAACGCTGGAGAGCCAAACAAGCCTGCGAACCACCACCAGTCCGGATCGGAGTGGGGCGGCGCGCGGGCTACAAGAGAGACTATATCCAGCGACCATGATACACACCGCCGTGCCGGTGGGTCGTTAAACGCCCGTGGACAGGGCGTCGTAGCGAACGTGGATAGCGGCTCCTCCATGGAATCGGCTACACAATCAGCAGGGGGGCGACGATATCTGTATATCCACGGCCCCTGCCGTAACGGCAGGGATGGATATCCGCGGATACGATTGGCTCGCCTGGTCGCTGATTCTGGACTCGCCCCACCCGACCAGATCAGCGGTGCTCAGCAAGCCCTCGGATACCATCGGATTACAGCTAGAATCGTTCACGCCCCAATGCCCGATGCCGCTGTATGGGGGGACAGACTACAATCGATGCAAATTTCATGGCTGTAACAGGCTGAGCCCGTGAGGGTCTCGGCTCCGCTCTCGACAAGACCCACCGGAGCTCCGCTTATAAGCTCGTACCAATCTTCGAGAGCTTTCCTTTCCTTTCCTCTTCTTTTCTTTCTCCTTAGCTTTAGGATACTCGTCGCAGTCGCTCAACGAGTTGTCAACACACTCAGTTGAGACCGTTACAATGGCAAAGTATTACTTGGACTTCAATGAACTGACCCGGATAGCCTCTATTCGTTACCAATACAGGAAAAACCCTATAGCCGAAGCCCGGGATGAAAACCCCTTATTCTATCCTGTCTGCGCATATGTCTTTCAACGTTGAGCATCTTGTCGCCTATCGTGGTTGGTGGATATCGTAGGGGTTGGACGGTGACGTTGAGAGTTTTGCGGCGTTGTTGAGGTGTTGGTTGCGTGGTAACGCGCTGCGCAGGCGGCCCGAGGATTTTTCGACCGTCGGGCGAGGTCGTCCGCATGCGTGTGATGTCGCCCACACGGGTGCTTCAAGGCGGCGGTAAAATGACGGGAGCGCCCCCGCTAGGGATGACCCAGGTCCCTAGAGGCTGTATTCCCCATTTGGTACAACCTAACTGTAAGGCAGGATGGGCTAGTCTGCCGGTCTCGACCTCCCCCCAAAGGTCGTGTCCCCGGTCGGATTCGAACCGACTCCGCCACGAGGGCGGCCTCCAAAGCGTATGACCAATACGCCACGAGGGTTTGAATGCCAGGCGGCTTCTTGATGCCTGGCCACTGGGCTCCTTCGAGCCGTCACTACGTCAATCACAGCCTCCCTAAACCGACTCCACACACGCCGAATAATACTCCCAATGAGCCCTTATGGTAGCTCTGGATCAAGGGGAGCCAACGGGCGACATGGACCTGAGAAAGTACTACTGTGACATCCGTCGATTCGGGCCCCAAAGGATGGGCCTTGCCAAAACGGCACCACAGGACAGGTCGGCACTAGTATTAGTACGACCACCCCAACACAACGGTGTAGACGCGCGCGGCTGCATGAGGAACGTCTCACGCCAACCGGCCGCTGACCGCAGTGCAACTACAACACCCGCACGCCAACCGGAGCCTACGCTCCACCCGCCAGTCTGGAACATCCTTCAATGCACCTGCCGGCCGGTGGCGGACCATCGCCGGTACGTAGGCCTGACGGTCCGCCGTGGACGGGCTAACTGCCTAGTCCGGCTCAGCGGGTAGGGGTCGTCTGAAAGTGGCCGGCGTGCTGCTGTTCAAGGTGAAACGGGGCGTACTTCCATCCCTGCACACCATTCCGGGGTGAGTATGGTCCACATCTGAGACGTAAGCCCACGGATTTGACTTGTCGACATTGAACGCTAACCCGGAGTATTCGGCGGGGTGTGGTGAGTAATCGAAATGTAGCCCCGTTTGCCGTATGGGCCGCCGCCTTCCGGATGCGTGCGGCCAGTAACGGGTCGGGGGCACCCTGAAACCCACCACGTGGCAGTAACAGCCAGCCGTATCGTCAGCCATCTGGTTACCGAACAGGTCGTACCACCAACCGCGCTCGTGATCGCTGCAGAAGTGCAACAGTTCGTTCACTCCGACCATGTTACACAACGCCACTAAGGATGGCAGACCGTGGCTGTCGCAGTACGACAGCACTCGCCATGCCTGGGCCGGGGGTCGGGCGGGAGGTGGCTTCCCAAAGACGACCGCCGTTTGTGGCTCGGCGGTTCCGTCCGGGTCTCTAGTCCCATACGGCGCCGTCGCGAGCTCGGGCTGCCTTCGGATCGACCCGACCGGCCTTCGGTCCTTTCGCGCCGGGATCTTTTCTTGGCGCTTCACAGGCGTTGATCCTTCCCCTGGCTGGGTTTACCCATAGGAGCGGGTTTTTCACATTGGGGGCAACGGGATGCACTGTGTACCCGCGGCCGGGAGCTGACACGCTAACGGGCGTACAGCCGAAGAACATTCCGTCCGATACAATCAGCCTTCCGTGCACATCGCCGCCAACCCCGCCACGGTCGGGCCTTGTGCACATTACGAAGTAACTCGGGGTGCCGGCCGGTCCACCGAGCCAACAGGCGACCGTGACCAGCGGGCGGCCCAGCGGCACACACTGCTGCTCCGACGCCGTAATGTCCACGGTCGGTACGCGTGGAAACAGTAGCGCTGTAGTCACACCGGCCACCAACGCCCATAAAAGGAGGCGGGCCAACGATCGGGAGTTTGGCACAAACGGTGGCCGGCGAGAGGGGGGAGTGGTGGGCGCCATGTCGAGGCGGTTGTAGGCTGGGTCCGGACGTCGGCTTGCCACTTTTAATCGATAACCGGTGTAAGATTAGCGTGAGAGATCAATGCTCGATAAGTGATAGAGAGGAGCTGCTATTCGTCCTTAAGTCCGAAGATGCTCTGCAGCTTTTATAGGTAAATGGTTTGCCTATATAGTATTGTCTCACACTTCCTTACTTTATTAATCGAGGTATAAAGGATGGATATGAAGCAGATGCTTAGATGCTAGCAGCGTTCTACTACATTCCGCTAGAGTCTTCTGCTATGTCGGCAGAAACGTATATATACAAGATGTGGGTCGCAACCGTATGGGGCATAAATGTAGCTGAGGACGTCTTACGGGGAGCTAGCGCGATCAAACCCAGGTACGTACGCGATGCTAGGATAGGTTTAGGAAGAAAATTGCCCGGCCTTATCAGCATATAAGCTACAAGCCTGGGGGGCCTAAAAGCCGGCCGCCGACCCTGTTCCACAGGGACGGGGGGGGGTGCGTTGATTAAGGACAAACGCGTTGATCGGAAAGGAAAAAAAATTACATAGAATGATGATCCTACTACATAAATGTAAGTACTACTGTTTTCTTACATAACCGCGCTAATTTCAAATTCCATCAACACCAACACGCATTTTCGTATAGCAACACATCACTTGGCCGAGAACCTAAGATCGCGATGTCATACAAGAGGCGGCTGACTTGGTGACCTTGGAGGCCATAGAGCGTGCCACATTGCAGGTACTGACCCTTGAGGCTGATGGGGTATAAATAATAGGTGACAGCTTCATTGAGGGTACCGGGCATAAATTTGAAGTCATCAAGGCAGAGTTAGAATGATAGTATCTTCATCAATGTTTCAGGTCACGATGGTATATAGAATCCCCGACTTGTTGCATACATCGTACTGGCGGGATTAGTTGTGCGTTTAACCGATTAAATGTAATACTTTGTTTAGCTAATAAATTTGCGGGGCTAAGAAGTACCTGCCTTTCCCCAATCAACGCGTTTGTCCTCAATCAACGCACCCCGTCCCTGTGGAACAGGGTCGGCGGCCGACTTTAGGCCCCTAGTAGATGATGTTAGTGCCGCGTTCCGCATTAATAGCGAAGGTGCGGAATGCGAATTGTCAAACACAGGCTATGTGCGCCATTTGCAGCGTCAACTGCTGGAGTGTGCATTCCACTTTGCCTGCGTGGTGCAATGGTCAATGTGACACGAATAGATAGTAGACTGTTATCGTCTAAAACTCTAGACTAAATTTGGAATGCTAGGAATAACGTCCCGCATTAATAGCGAAGGTGCAGAATACAAATTAGCAGGTGGTACACTGTTATCGCCTAAAACTCTAGACGAAGTTAGGAATGCTAGGAATAACTTATTACGTCTTAGTATCATTAATCCTCATACAAGTTTGGAACCGTCACATTAGTCGCTACGCATGCAATTAATGGCCTATTTAGTTATCTACGACATAATGGTACGCGCAGGACACGGCTAAGGGTAAATAGAATAATTAACGTCTTCACAGACCTAGGGATAATCTGATCATCAATAGCGCATGCGACTTCCTGAGTCTCGCGCTCGTAGATGCAAAAACCCTGATACTTTTCACTTCATGATTCTTGAATTTCTTGTCAAGCCGGGGGCGCTGCACGATGCGACGGTACAAGGCACGAACGAGGTCGAGTGCGGCTTGGACAAAGTGATTGTCTAAAATACTTCGAACACCCGTTAAGTTGCCAAGGCAAGGGGCTTAACGGCTGAATATCCAGCCCGAAGGGTAAATCGGCGTGCCTAGAACCACCGTTGGCAGGCTAGGGGTAGGAGGGATAGGGGAAGATCCCTCTACAGCGCTTGGGGTAGAAGGCCCCTGCGGAGCTCTGAGCATTCCCGTCGGTGCAGGCACCAGGCCACGGAATAAATCAGGCATGGAAGGAGGCTGTAAGGCGTTCGCAGACGCAGGCGTTGGTGCAGTCCGCCTTGGAGGCGTCAGGTTAGCTAGTGAATCGGTCCTCTTCGAGGCTCTGCGTGGCAATGGCTTCGAGGCGATCTTCTGCATTGCGGCGACGGCTCAGGATTCGGTTATCCGCTCCCTTCGGCGTGCCCTACAGTTAGCACACTCTGTTGTGAACTTTGTAGGGTCCTTGACGCTTCGAAACTCGACTTCGGGCAGGTCTTGCTTGCAGGTACGGCAGTTGCGGACCGCCTGGGGTGTATCGTTCTCCATCTGACAGTATATATCCACTTCTTATCGATCTAAGCTGCTATATATTGCTCGGGCAGGGAGGCTTTGCGAGGGTTTGGCGGTGCTAGCAGAGCTGACTGACAGCCGAGAGGTCCAAGACCGTGATAGATCTCGATAGGGAGGCTGTCTTTGCGGTAGTTAGATCAGGTCTAAACAATCTAGGAGGAGACTGTACTGCTTGCCTGGAGGTAAGGTAACCGGGGAATATTGAGAGGTAGGTCGGCCGCGGAGGTGATGTGTGAAACCTAGATACCGTTAGCAAACCAATGCGTTTGATAGATTCGACGGAAAAGAGAATTAGGAAAGAAGAAGTGAAATCTCTTGGCGAGCCCTTGAAGAGCTCCTTGGTTACCTAGTCAACGCTCAGGGGTTTATGGTGGGCCTTCATTTGGTGGCGTTATCAGCCGACCAATTCGTTCGCGAGTTGAGCACAGGGGAGGCTAATTGGCCAATCAGAAGAGGTTTTATGCTCGATTCTTTCTGACTGAGTAGAACGCCCTTCGGGCTGAACAAGGAGAGAAAGGGGAAAGAACCACGTAGTTCACCTGCTCTGCCGCTGGCATATCAACAAAAACGTTCTTACCAAGTGCAAAAAGCACTTCCCTGCTGCAACAAAGGAAGGAGATCGCACAATCCGAGCCCCTACGTTCACAGCCTTCCTCAAAGAGTGGGCAGGCATCGTTAACACCCCTAATGAGGCTATCTGTCGGTAGGTCTCTACACAGGCCTGCGTGCAAATCGCAATGGTATGTGTAATCGTTGATGTCTGTTCTAGAAAGGGGGAAGAGGGGGCAAAGGGCACGGAGCTAGCTATGTGTCCTCCGCTATCCTCAACTGCACACGTGAGAGCGCACGTGACCTATCTAGATGGGTACAATGGATTACTACAATTCCCACACTATCTATAACACACTGGTCCCCGCGTTCGAAGCAGCCGGCCATCCGCAGGCCGCCGTGGATTACGCTATCAATACGTGGCTAGACCCCTGGAAGGAGAAGTTCGTGATGTGCTTCGTTGACCGGCACCGGCACAACAGCCTTAAACTTGGCAGACCGCGCTTCAGTCGCTGAAGGTAGGACGCTGAACACTTGGAGAAACTGACCTTCAAGTAGGCCTCAGGCTTTCTAATCATACGCGTATGATTTAGTTAAATCATATATAAATCATATATTGCCCATATACATATACCATACAGCCCCAGGCGTATGATCATATATGATCATACTGTCACGGGCTGTGCCTGGTTGGTGGACCCGGCTGTACCGGGTCCGGTGGGTCGTGCTGGTGGCAGCACCGGCCGCCCGCGGACCCGGAAGCTGCGAGAACATTCTGTGAAGGGTAATATAAGCTCGCACTCGAGGCTACGCCTCAAGTTCAGCTTCCTTTCCTCCTCAGCTCTAGATAGACAACACATAGGCACCTGCTTGTTGAGTAAACTCCGGGCCAGCCTCTTACACATACGCTGGATAAAGTTGTGCCGACAGGGTGGCAAACCACTCAATCCCAGCAACGGTTGCTCAATATAGTTGAGCAACCGTCAACTCAATCAACTCAATCGAGTGTCTGCTGAATAAGCTTGTCAATTCAATTCATGCTCCCGTTGATTGATGGATTGATGAGATTGCCGTTGACGGTCAGGGATCCTGTAGGGTAGGTGGCCAAGGCGAAATGTAGGTACGGATTGGGTATATAGCTACCACTAACCTTACAGGTTACTCAGGCCCGTTGTAGGTAAGCCTCCTCTCCTCTTCGGGGAACAGGGCCCCCTGTTCCGTTGGAAGAGTCGACGCGCTGCGCGCATCGACGCGCTTCACAACAAAGTTCAATCTCTCGCCTCAGTTCCACTTCCACTTCTCGATTCTTCCACAACGCCTTGGCTGATCTAAACATTCCTATATGCAATGAGCGAATCTCCTGAGCCTTCTTCTACTCCCTTGCCGCCATCAGGCGATTCAGGCGACTCAGGCCCCGTTCCCCATCTCGAGTGGGATGCCTTCCCTGGCATCACTTCCGCGGCTATACCAAGTCTCAACGCGCCGGCAAGCTCAAATCGTGGATCTGGAGCTTTGGGTTCGACATTGAACATCAAGCTAACGTAGATAATCGCCTCTGGGTCTGTGAGCGGTGTTTACCGAAGAAATCGCCGAAGGGACCCGTGAGCTTCGCGGCAAAGGGGACCCTAAACATTGAGCGCCATCTACATGATGCTCACAATGTTATTGACCCATCAGGTAGACGGTTACCGAAGGGTTCTACAACCAACAAGCGTTCTATTGCCCAATTCTTCAACCTCGATGCCAATGACCAGAAGGAGCAAGCATTCATTAACAAGCTAAAAAACCAATTCGATAAAGATGTCTTCCAATCTCTCTTGCTTGCTTGGATCACCGAGTCGAATGTTGCCTTCCGCGCAGTTGAAGCCCCTCGATTCCGGCGTCT